AACATACTTCCATATGAAGATTTTTGGTAGAGTAAAAGATTTTCAAGAATCATGAATTAATTAATACGATGAAACCTACCTAATTTCGGCGGTCTAATCAACGTACAACTTTCGTAGTTGACCGTACCGGTGCGATCTAAGAAAATCACCAATTGATTAGACCGATCTTGGTATAACCATGCTGAGTGAATGACCGTGTCTGGTTAGATCCGGGACAACGAATCCAAATCTTGTGATGTTCTATTTTCTACATGTGGTGGAAGGGTTTTAATATTGAAAATCAAAAATGTAATTAGGCCCAATATAATAATTAGGCCTTTATTTAAGAGGTTTCTTGGGCCTAATTACATTTTTGATTCTCAATATTAAAACTTTTTGGCACAAAAAACTTTCTCATGTATCAAATTGTACGTGATACTTGTTTCCAGTGATAGCTACGTAAGTGTCAAAATAAACGTGAGCAGAGTGATTTATAAATAAAATAAACTGTTCGTGGATTTGATTGATTCTTATAGTTCATTTACTTTAACAAATTCTGTTCTTCTTCGTTTTTTTTTTGTTACTTAAAACAAAAGCTGAAAACCAAGCTAAACCAGATTTCTCACGGTACTGAATTTGAATTTTTTATATGTTGAAAATTGTAACAAATCTATGTGTGTAATGTAGAAAGGTCATTTGGTGCTGGAGTTAGCTTAACCCAAACTCGGCATTAGGACAAATAAGGGATATATAATACTAATTTGATTGTGGTCAGAGATCAATAGTTTCTTGAAAGATACTTGAGTTGTTTTCTCCGTCAAGGCACATTACACAAATCTTTGTCTTATGTTATGTGTGTGACTATAGGTTTCATCTATGTGTGTCAGTTTCTCAGCACTAAACCCGTTCCATAAACTATAATAGTTTGCATATTCAGAGCCTATAGAAATTAGTGAATCAAATGGGGTGGGGGGGGGGGGTTGTTTGTCCTGGATTGTTTTGACAATATTCTCATAACCTATAGACTAAACCTAATAATAAAAAAATTATAAAACTCGAATCTCATGTTGACATGCTTAAACTTTGGACAAGAAGAGTGTCATTAAACAATATCCTACATATGCTAATATGATCCATTAATGTTGTGTTGGACATATATAAACAAATGACGATCAATCAGACAATATTTAAATCTTCATAATACATACTCTTTCTGTTTTTTTTTTTAAATATATTTGAAGTTGTAAAGAAATTTGTTTGTTCCAAATTATTTGAAATTTTCAATTTTCTATATAAAATTTATTAGTAATTAATGTTAGATGATCAATAATATAATAATTCATATTTTATTATTGGTTGAATTATGGTTAAATTAATAATTATATTTTTGTTTAGAAAATGAAATAAAATTAAATGTTTATCATAAAACATCAAATAAAAAAAAAACAGAGAGAATATTATTATCGAGAGAAAAATTAAAACCAGCAATTGATTTTCAGTATTTTTGTTGTGGTTATAGGGTCCAATTTCCCTTTGATTACCATACAAAAAACCGTTAAAAATGCCACGTGAATCTAGCTCTATTTCATTTTATATTTAAACTAAAAATAGTAAAAAAAAAATACGAGAAATCTGAAAGGTGCGAGAAAGCAGCAGGTTCAGTCAGCATCGAAAGTGACGATATCTCTCATCTCCATCGTCACAGCAAATCTCAAAGACTAAACCTTTCTTCTTCTTCTTCATCTTCCTCACGCTCCGTCTCTCCAATGTAAGTTTTCCTCATTCTCCTTCTAGTTTCTTACCTCTGTGTATCACTCTTTCACTAAGCTCATTTCTATAAAAAGTCTCAAACTTTATTTATGACATCACTCACGAATCAATCTCAACCAATCACAATCTGATCTAATAACTTGCTTTTCATAGATGGAATTAGATTCAGACAACAAACTGTTAAAGACATGTCTGGTCATAACAGCAACACTTGTCCTAACCAAACTCATCTTCACATTCTTCACATCCTCTTCCAAGAAGAAGCGTCTCCCTCCCACACTCCAAGCCTGGCCTCCACTCATCGGAAGCCTCCTCCGTTTCTTGAAAGGCCCCATCGTTATGCTGAGAGACGAGTATCCTAACCTCGGAAGTGTCTTCACAGTGAACCTTCTCCACAAAAAGATGACATTTCTCATTGGTCCTGAAGTCTCTGCCCATTTCTTCAAGGCTCCTGAGTCTGATCTCAGCCAGCAGGAAGTGTATCAGTTCAATGTGCCTACCTTTGGCCCTGGAGTTGTTTTCGATGTTGACTATTCAGTTCGACAGGAACAGTTTAGGTTCTTCACCGAGGCACTTAGAGTTAACAAGTTGAAGGGTTATGTAGACATGATGGTTACTGAAGCTGAGGTATTTAATATAACATCTTCTATTAAGTTGTTGTTGTGTGCAGGGCCCGGTCCTAGGCAAAGCCGAATGAAACATTGGCTAAACTGCTAAAAATTGTGAAGAAAATTACATAGACTTTTTTTTTGTGCGACATAAACCCGAAAAAAAAAGTTTGAGGCTCCTAAATTTATTAAAAAAAAAAATAGTTGAAATCTTTAATAAATCGCCTATGATTTATTTAATCTTAGGGGCGGCCTTGGTTATTTGTTTTCTTTTAGTATTTTCATTGATTTCTTTTTTCTTAGTACTAGGAGATTCCGGCTGAGACTCTTAATCCCAGACCCGAAACCTCGTGTAATATTAGTTTTGTCCCAGCGGTCACTTTAGTTGGATTCTTTTTGTTTTCACTTGTGAGTGTGTTAAATGAATATAAGCTTGTTCTTGTTTCTTTGGTAGGACTTCTTTTCGAAATGGGGAGAGAGTGGTGAAGTTGATCTAAAGGATGAGTTAGAGCGTCTCATCATCTTAACTGCAAGTAGATGTTTACTAGGGAGAGAAGTTCGTGACCAGCTTTTTGATGATGTCTCTGCTTTGTTCCATGACCTTGACAACGGAATGCTACCCATCAGTGTTCTCTTCCCATACCTCCCACTTCCAGCTCACCGTCGTCGCGACCGTGCTAGAAAAAAGCTTTCTCAGATCTTTGCAAAGATCATAGGGTCGAGGAAACGTTCAGGGAAAGCTGAGAACGACATGTTGCAGTGTTTCATCGAGTCAAAGTATAAGGATGGTAGGCAGACGACTGAATCCGAGGTTACGGGTTTGCTCATCGCTGCGTTGTTTGCAGGACAGCACACTAGCTCTATTACTTCCACGTGGACCGGTGCTTACCTGATGAAATACAAGGAACATTTCTCTGCTGCTTTAGATGAGCAGAGGAAGCTGATGGAGAAACATGGAGACAAGATTGATCATGACATTTTGTCTGAGATGGATGTTCTCTACCGATGCATTAAAGAAGCGTTGAGACTTCACCCTCCGTTGATTATGCTCATGAGAGCCTCTCACAGTGACTTCAACGTCACAACAAGGGATGGTAAAACGTATGATATCCCAAAGGGTCATATCGTTGCAACCTCCCCTGCATTTGCTAACCGCTTGCCTCATATCTTCAAGAATCCAGACAGCTATGACCCTGATAGATTCTCACCGGGAAGGGAAGAGGATAAATCTGCAGGGGCGTTCTCGTACATTTCATTCGGTGGAGGTAGGCATGGATGTCTTGGAGAGCCTTTTGCTTACTTGCAGATAAAAGCTATATGGAGTCATTTGTTGAGGAACTTTGATCTTGAGTTGGTTTCACCGTTCCCTGAGATTGACTGGAACGCTATGGTGGTTGGTGTTAAAGGCAGTGTGATGGTGCGTTACAAGCGGCGCCAACTGTCTTAAAAAGACAGGTTCAGAGTCTCTCTTTGCTTTTGTCCCTATTTGGTTTTTAGTTTTGTTGTTGGATGGTTCTTGTGTGTTCTTAAACTGTTCTTGCTCTTTAATTGACACTTAGCTTTACAAGTTTGTTGGTTTGTGCTTAGTTACTATTTGCAATAGCTTAGCCAATCTTTTCTGGGCAGTGGAATGCATCCACAATTTACATTTCACGAATGTTATTTTTGAGACTTCTTCCGACGACCTCCATGACGCATTCGTTAACCCAAATGACCTTTTCAGCCTCAGCCATGTCCGCCACAATATCTCATTTCTGCTGTCCAAGATTGCTCACTGGACTCTAGATCACGCACTCCCAGAACGGAATGAAGCTGCTGACGCAATTGCAATAAGTGTCACTCGCGATCACCGCCACCAGTCTTACATCGCCAGCCAGGCTCCCGTTTGGTTACACCACCTGCTCGCTTTGGAGGCTCAGTTATTAACGGTTGGGTGAAGTTATATCTCCTTTTATTTTGATGTCTATTGACATCCCCTTTTTTCTCTTTTAATTCTCTATTATCTTGTACTGTCTTGAATACTTTTACGTATCAGTGTTATAAAAAAAAAAATCTATATCTATGTGAAGATATAATGCATGGTAGTAATGAGCTTTTCCTGAAGACCTGATTGTGTTTCTTTATAAATTGCTTAGTGGATTCAGAAAAAGATACTTATCAGAAAGTGAAAAATATATTGGCAAGAAAAAACTTGTTCATCAATCATCAACCAATGAACAGTTTAAACATTCATAATAATAAGAAAAAAAAAAGTAAAAAGGTAAACTAATTCATTTATTCAGCTACAGATAAAAGAAAAAAAATCAAAATTGGTAAAATTACATTTTCGGAAGAAAATATTTGATTTAGTTTCAGTATCATACGCATTGATTTAGTTTATTTTCTCCTTATGTGTTAATATATATACATATATCAAAACCTGCATATATAGATGTAAAGAAGTTGCCAAAAAAAAAAAAAAAAGATGTAAAGAGACCAAATGTGATAGCAAATCATTGTCTTAAATATTTACAATTTGCTTCTTAAACTTGTGCATTATGATTCAATACAAATCCAGGTGCATATGTACATGATTTATATATAAATATATATTAGTCCCTGAATGGTTAACCTCCTATAATTGTCACTTTATTTGTATCCCTTATGAACACCTTCTCTCCCGCAGCTGACGAGCGACGACGCTCACCTCATCGCCGGAAAATATACATCCCCTCCGTTGAACGTTCCAGTCACCAGAAATCAAAAGGATTCAAAGTCTCAGCGAGGAAGCTTGCGTCAAGGCTTCATAAGCTTCCTCCTATAGAAGATGGTTCCTTGGCAGAACGTTTTAGTCATCAGGTTTGTGATCATTTGGTTTGGTTTCTGAGATCTCTCAACGTTATAAGTTTTCTTTACCTTTACAATGTTGCAGATGGAGGGCATAACTAAGTGGGACTTGGGATCATTCAGAACGTATGACTCCGTTGAACCTTATGAGAAGTTTCAAGTAGAAGAGAATCTAGACGGTAGCCTTGTTCCTCGTCTTGCAGCTGAGTTATGGAAGGCTCAACAAAGAGTCAAAGAGCTTGAAACAAAGGAGAACAGATGTCTCATTAGAAGTCAAAGAATAAGCACTATGGAAGAAGAAGAAGATACTGATTCCCTTTTTGATTACTTGAAGGAGAAGTTAAGCAAAGAAAAGGAAGAAAGGAAAAGAGCTAACGCTGAGAATTCTAGGTTAAAGAAGAAGATTTTGGAGATGGAATCAACAATAAGTAAGTTGAGGAGAGAAAGAGACACACTAGAGAAGGTGTGCGAGGAGCTGGTGACGAGGATCGATGAGTTGAAGGCAGAAACAAGGAGGATATGGGATGAAACAAAGGAGGAGAGGCAGATGTTGCAAATGGCTGAGATGTGGAGGGAGGAAAGGGTTAGGGTTAAGTTGACGGATGCGAAACTTTCTTTGCAAGAAAAGTTTGAAGAGATGAATTGGTTTGTGGATGAGTTAGAGAAGTGTTTGGAGATGGCTAGAGATGTAGGAGGAACTGAGGGGTTAAGAAGAGGTGAACGTTTGATTAAGACGGTAAGATCGTTGGAAGATGAAGCTAATGATATAGAATTTGAGAAATTCAAGTTTGCCTCTGATGATGATAATTAATGCTTAATCTACTCTTTTGTTTCAATATGTTGTATATTATAATTTTTTCACATATATTAATAAAATATTAGATGATACCCGCACACATATGTGGAGTGAGTTTTTTGTATTAATGTTTGTTCGGTTTTAATATTTTGTAACATTATCATTTTTATTGATTGTAAAAATATGAATACAAATGTTGGTTTTTTAATATATCATATGTTTGGGTGTTGGGGAGTCCGTCGGTTTTAGTTCGATTAGTTTGGATTTTCAAATTTTCGGTATTATTTTTTTCAGTCCTATTCGGGTTCTATTAATTATCGAATCAGATTCGGTTCAGTTTCTTCCGAATTCGGTCTAAATCGGATTATAACTAAAATTTGAATGTCCAAAAAATATTTTTGAAACCTCAAAAATGACAAAAAATATCAAAATATTAAATTATTCGTAATTCTAATTTAAAATTAATTAAACTATCTAAGCCAATTAAATGGTATTCAAATAAATATGTATCGATTTATAGTTATATGGACCAATTTATATACGTTAATGATCAGTTTCTGATACTGAGGTACGTGTTAACTTGTAGACGAGAATGAAGAAGTCAGTTTTAACAAAGATGAAGATGTAATTTTACCCCAAAAAAAGGATATAAGCTTCGAAAATTAGATGTTGAGACTTATCAGTCTAAAATATGTGTGTATATTGTTGTCACTCGTCACACTACGATGTTGTGTATATATTGTTGTCACTCGTGTTCCTTCTTAGCTTATATTAAACGTTCTCTCGTTATGTGAATACTTAAAAATGCCCATCTTACCAAAATTTAAAGCAAATTTTCTTGTTTATTTAGAAATATGTCAAATAAATGACTTTTTTTTAATTGAAAATAAATTGTTTAAATTGCTCTGTTTATAAATTGCTTTAAATTTATGACATTTTTATGACTTTTATGTCATACACAAAACCATAATGTTTTGAGCAAATTCATAGTCAGGTACAACATTTTAGATGGAAAACAAATCAAGGACGCAAAATCATCTTAATTATGGTAATTGTCTAATATAAACCAATCATTTGTGCACGCTTGGTTGTTACAAGAAAGCTGATTAAGGAGTCTTTGTTGCTCAGAGAGGTGTTGTTCTTGATTCTGTAAGCTATGGAACTTTGATTACATCGTTTAAATAAGAATCATGGTGAAGAAGAAGAAGACATTTAGATGGAGTTACCCCTCGTGAAGATATCTACTGATCTATAGTCTCTCTTGAGAGAGTGAGTGAAGAAAAAAAAAACTTCGTTTGGTATGCTTAACTAGCAGATTCGTATCTCCTTCGTACACGTGGACGTGAACCCTTTGACGATACTAATCAACGGTGAGTGTTGGGAAAAGAGTGATACTAATCAACAATGACGTGGTGGAGTTGTAAAATCTGGACATTGTCTGACATGTGGCGCTAATGCACCGGCCAAGCGATATCTTTGTCACGAGCTATACAACATTTAGCTTCGGACAAGCGTTTAAACATTTTTCATTACATGAAGTAAAGTCATGTCAGCATATTATAATATTAACCATCACATGGCACTTCTCTTTCTTTTTAGTTAATTACTATAATTTAAGAGAATAAAATAAGAAATTTTAATTAGAGATGAGTAACAGTGATTGAGAAATGGTGTGGTGAAGCAGTGGAGGGGGATGCTTCAACAACAAACATTCTTTCACTCTTCTCAGCATATACCTTCTACCTGAAGAACAAGTACAAAAAACACTTTCTTCCTTTCTCTTTCTCTTCTTCTTTGGTCAGCCATGGAAGTGTGTTGGCAGATACAGTCACCTACGAGTCTCAGACCGGGTTTCAAGCAAAAGGGTCGGCTCAAGATTAATACTTTTGTTGGTTTCCTTCCTCGCCCCATTTCTAGTGTAAGTTTGCTTTGCATTTCTACCATAGTTCGATGCTCGTTGGATTCTACTTTCTTGGGAATTGAAGTGCAAAGTGTTATCCTTTTTGCCAGTGAGATCGTCTTTTTGATTAGGAAATGATTAGTTGGAATTGAAATTTGATAGAAAGTTAGTATCTTTTAGAAGATTCAACTCTGGTAGGGTCTCTGGATTGGGAATGAATCTCAACTTTTAAGCCCCATTTCGAATTGACTGATTATAGGAATGAGTTCATTTCTGTAGGAAAGTACCAAATCCTCACTGCATTTTCGAATCTTAATTTTAAAAAACAAAGTTGAAGGTAGAAGATTTTGTGTACTATTAAGCCTTAAGTTAGAGCCTGAGCTAAAGATTCACGGTTGGAGGAATGAATATGTGACATTTTATATGATATTCTGGTAGTTCACTTCTTGTGTGATTAATTAGTTCATGTGTTCTTCTTTTGTCTATCTTTTTCTGGCTTCTAACCATTGACATGTTTGGTTCTCAGCTTGCTTCGTTGGAAAGCCAATACAACTCAAATGGGTTTCTACATCAGATCACAGCAAGTGCAGGTTTAATATTCAAGAATCCGTTAACAGACTTTATTGTAACTTTTCATAGTTGATTCTTGATTCAGTGTTTTTTTTTTGTTTACCAAGATTTCTCTAGGAAGAAGCAAGGAAGAATGTCAGCTTCAGGGCCTAAAAGCTCAGCTCCCAGAGGTTTTGGGCGACGAACAACAGTAGGAAGTTCTCAGAAAAGAACTCAGAAGAAGAGCGATGAAAAAGATAGCAATGCAACTTCCACAGTAACTAATGAGGGTTTAGTCAGTAACTTGCCCGAAGCTAAAGCAGATGTACAGAAACAAGGTTCTGCTGTTTGGGATGAGACTGAAGATGGAAGTGACAAGAAACCAACCGAGGATGATGTTTTGTTAGAACAAAAGTTAAAAGCTGAAAGAGAGAATCTTCGTAGGAAGGAAATAGAAGCTCTTGCAGAGGAAACTTTGTCTAGAGGTGATAGAATGTTTGTGTATCCTCTCATTGCAAAACCTGATGAAGACATAGAAGTGTTTCTCAACAGGACTCTATCAACTCTGAACAACGAACCAGATGTTTTGATCATGGGGGCGTTTAACGACTGGAGATGGAAATCTTTCTCCAGGAGATTAGAAAAGACAGAGCTCCATGGAGATTGGCTGTCATGTCTCCTTCACATCCCCAAAGAAGCTTATAAGATGGACTTTGTGTTCTTCAACGGACAGAGTGTTTATGACAACAATGACTCAAAAGACTTCTGTGTAGATGTAAAAGGAGGGATGGACAGAGTTGAGTTTGAGAATTTTCTTCTTGAAGAGAAATGGAGAGAGCAAGAGAAGTTAGCCAAGGAAGAAGCTGAGAGGGAAAGGCAAGAGGAAGAAAAGAGAAGAATCGAAGCAAGAAAGGCTGCCATTGAAGCTGATAGAGAACAAGCTAAAGTGGAGACTCAGAAGAGACGTGAGATGCTACAACCAGCTCTTCAGAAAGCTGTAATCTCTTCTAAGAATGTTTGGTACATTGAGCCAAATGATTTCAAAGCTGGTGATAAAGTGAAGATATATTACAATAAAAGCTTTGGTCCTCTAGCTTATGCCAAAGAGATATGGATACATGGAGGGTTTAATAACTGGGTTGATGGATTATCTATCGTTGAAAAGCTAAAGACTGATTCAAAGAGTGAAGATTGGTGGTTTGCTGAAGGTATTTATATATATATGAAACTTTCTTATCTTCTTGATCAAAGCTAAAGGTTTCTTTCAGTTGTTTTATTGTTCCTTTTCATTTTGATATGTAGTCATAGTGCCCGTTGGTGCTCTAGTCATTGACTGGGTCTTTGCTGATGGACCACCTAAAGAAGCATTTTTGTATGACAATAATAGTCTCCAAGATTTCCACGCACTTGTTCCTCTAAGAACTTCAGAAGAGCTTTTCTGGTCAGAGGAAGAAAGCTTGATGTTTAGGAAACTTCAGGAAGAGAGACGGTTAAAAGAGGAAGCTATGCGTGTTAAGGTTAGTGACCAGCTTATCCTCTTTACAATACATCTATGATTTAACTATATATACATTATCTTCATGTATTTTTTTCTTTGGCAGATGGAGAAAACAGCTCGTTTGAAAGCTGAAACTAAGGAAAGAACTCTTAAAAAGTTTCTGCTTTCTCAGAAAGATGTAGTTTACACAGAGCCTCTAGAGATTCAAGCGGGAAGACCTGTGACAGTTTTCTACAATCCTTCAAACACGGTTTTGAATGGGAAGCCTGAGGTTTGGTTTAGATGCTCTTTCAATCGTTGGACTCATCGGTTAGGTCCTTTGCCTCCTCAGAAAATGGAAGCAGCTGATGATGGAAGCTCCCACGTGAAGACTTCAGCTAAGGTCCCATTAGATGCTTACATGATGGACTTTGTTTTCTCCGAGAAAGAAGATGGCGGAGTGTTTGATAACAGATATGGTTTGGATTATCACTTACCTGTAGTGGGAGCTATTGCTAAGGAACCACCATTGCACATTGTTCATATTGCTGTTGAAATGGCACCCATTGCAAAGGTAAAACCGTAAGACTGTGAGGTTTTTAACCATCAAAAAACATTGGTTTATGGTATGTTTTGTTGCTTGCAGGTTGGAGGACTAGGTGATGTTGTCACTAGTCTATCTCGTGCTGTTCAAGAATTAAACCATAATGTTGATATCATCTTTCCAAAGTATGATTGCATAAAGTACAACTTTGTAAGATCTATTACCTTTTTCTTATACTATCCTTTTTGTATTGTGCATCTCTCTTTGTACTTACATTGTGTGAAAAAAAAATAGGTGAAGGACTTGCAGTTCAATAGAAGCTATCACTGGGGAGAAACTGAAATAAAAGTTTGGCATGGAAAAGTTGAAGGCGTTTCAGTTTACTTCTTAGATCCGCAGAATGGGTTAAGCTTTGTGCAGTTCTCTTTAATCTATTTCCACAATCCCTTCATGAAGAAGTGTTGTGCTTGTTGCTTGATCTGTTGCAGGTTGTTCCAGAGAGGATGTGTTTACGGTTGTGCAGATGATGCAGCAAGATTTGGTTTCTTCTGTCACGCTGCTCTTGAGTTCCTTCTACAAGGAGGTTTTCATCCAGTAAGTCTACTCGTCATATAGAGAGACCTTAATACTTTGTTCTAAAACTTGTGGTCTCAACATCTACAGGACATTCTTCACTGTCACGACTGGTCTAGTGCACCAGTTTCATGGTTGTTCAAGGATCAGTACACGCATTACGGTTTGATTAAAACACGAGTTGTCTTCACAATCCATAACTTGGAGTTTGGAGCAGGTGCCATTGGTAGAGCCATGACATTTGCAGACAAAGCCACAACAGTAACTCCTGGAAACAAATATTGTTTAACACATCTGTTTATCAAGAAATAAGTCTTTATACTCTTAACATCATCAGGTTTCACGAACATATGCAAAGGAAGTTGCTGGAAACTCTGTAATCTCTCCGCATCTATACAAGTTTCACGGAATAGTAAACGGGATCGATCCAGATATATGGGATCCATACAACGATAGCTTCATTCCAGTAAAGCTTCATTGCATCCTCTCCTTTCAGATTGGTTTCTACATCTTTGTGATGTTTGACTACTTTGTTTGGTTCTTACTCCTTAGGTGCCTTATACTTCAGAGAACGTTGTAGAAGGCAAAAGAGCAGCCAAGGAAGAGTTACAAAACAGGCTTGGACTAAAGAGTGCTGATCTTCCTTTAGTAGGAATCATTACTCGCTTAACTCACCAGAAAGGAATACATTTGATCAAACACGCTATTTGGCGTACCTTGGAACGCAATGGACAGGTCCTTATACTCAAACCTTTGTCATGAACTTTTCACAGTCCTTACCAGTTTTTTTGAATGCAGGTTGTGTTGCTAGGCTCAGCTCCTGATCCTCGGATCCAAAATGATTTCGTGAACTTGGCAAATCAGTTACATTCTACTCATGGTGACCGAGCTCGGCTTGTTCTTACCTATGATGAACCTCTTTCCCATTTGGTAAAAAAATAAACTTACAGAATCATTGTTTCACTACTTTGGTCTTAACTCTTTTTGTGTTTACTCTTTAGATCTATGCTGGGGCTGACTTTATTCTTGTACCATCGATATTTGAGCCGTGTGGACTTACACAGCTCATAGCCATGAGATACGGTGCTGTTCCTGTCGTAAGAAAAACTGGAGGTAACTGTTTTAAAGCTAAAAATTTACCTGATTCCCTTAAGGTTGTAACTATGGTTTATCTTTGTCCAATATAGGACTCTATGACACGGTTTTTGATGTGGACCATGATAAAGAAAGGGCACAAGCTCAAGTTCTAGAACCTAATGGCTTCAGTTTTGATGGGGCTGATGCTCCTGGTGTGGACTATGCTCTCAATAGGTAAAGCAACCAAACTCTTAACTAACGCTCTAGTTGATTGGTGCATTGCTTTTAACTGGTTTGTCTTGTTTTTGTTCTTGTTGCAGGGCGATATCAGCTTGGTACGATGGTAGAGAGTGGTTTAACTCGCTGTGTAAGACGGTGATGGAGCAAGACTGGTCATGGAATCGTCCTGCACTTGAGTACATTGAGCTCTATCACTCTGCACGCAAGTGAGAAGAAGAAAAAAGAAAACATGAAAGTTGTAAGATCAAATTCTCTTTGTATGTACAGAAATAAGCTATAGGAAGTTTGATCCTTTCTTCTCCATGTAACGTTCCTAAATCATTCAAAGATCATATGGATTATAATCTTGTAATTTTGAAAAAAAATAAAGCTAAGAAAATTAATATTCCTCTGTTGATCTCTAATAAACTGTATTATTTCTCAATTGAATTCAAACTGAGTAGTACTACTTTTTGGTTTTGCTTCTAGTGGGGTTTTGGGTGAGAAACATAATAAATGTATGCAAAAAATAGTTAGTGAAGTGGTTTAATGAGAGACAAGGAAGTAATGTTTTGGTCACATTTGGTTTGTCCTATGACAGACAAGACAAGAGAGTCCTCCTTGTTATACCTTTTTATTTAATTCTCACATGTCCTACTTTTCTGCTTCTCATTTAAACTCATTGCACCACTTCTCGTTTCTCTATGACCTATTTTCTTGGACTATACTGTGTTGAGTTTGGTATCAATTTACTCTTCAGGATGACTCTTCATTTTGTACATATTAAAAAAAAAAAAGTTCCACCTTGTTTGAATTTTATGATTCACATAGTTGGACATCGTTTGGGAACAACGAAAAAAAATGTTTATTCTCAACTAAATTACGAATAATCTAACATACTTCCGGAGAGTGTTTACATTTTGTCACAAACATGTTTCCAGAAAATGTTGAAAGACTTGATGAAATTTAATTGATTTATACCCTACTCACTATTGAGAGTGAGTCCCGAGACAGACTTCCTAATTGTCGTCTGATTAACGGAAAAGCTTTTAAACCATGCACTTATCAAATAAATTAATAAATAAAATAAGACAAATCTGTCTGCAGTTAAATTATAGACTCAAGGGCAGATAATTACAAATAAAACTTTATAACTGGTTGCATTGTTGCAACATTTACAATCTAGCTACTACGTCTAATCCCTTAGCATGTTACTACTATATATTCTTTGCTTGAAATTCCTTTGATACTTTCTAAAAATAGAAGTGTTTTCGCCCTTGTACTTGGATCTTGGGGGTTGTGTTACTTGTTAACATCATGTACCTTGGAAGCTTGCAAAGTAAAACAAAAAGAAAGTAATAAGAAATTATCAAATTGGATACCATTCCGAATAGTAAACAATAATTGTAAAAAAGATTGACAATATACCTTTAAGAAGATTGACAAAATACTTTTAAGGTTTATAATAACCATCTTTGCCATGTTGGTTTTATGCGTGATATTGGCACGGCTCAATCGAACAAAACCGATCTCTAGTAGCTAAGAGTACGACTATTTGATTGAACCGCACTAATATCTCGCGTCACCTTTACATGAACACCAGTCTCACCCGATTATCATCACTAGTCAGCTCCAGAAAATCAAGAACCAAAAAAAAGTAGCATCAACTACACATCAAATCAAATTGTATATAAATGATTGTCGGCACAAAAGTGTTACTTTACCGAAGATGGTCATTGGATCCTTGTAAAGCTCTTAGGTTACGTTAAAACAAAAGTACTAAGCAGAAGAATCAAGAGAGAAAATAAGAAGAATGTGGCTATTTTACAAAGTCTATGGGACTGCAAAGTGAAGAAGAAGATATAAATACGAAGATGGTTGAAGAAGAGAGGCAAGGCAAGAGAGTAGCATTAAATTAGACCAACAACCCCATACCAAAAAGGAGATTGTTTATTAAATTTGAACTGTTTCTATATAATACTTTTTTGAATATTAGTATGTGTTCTTGTTAAACTTGAATTGTTTTATACTAGTATGTATAAATACAAAAAAAAAAAAAAAATATATATATATATATATATATATATTTTATAACCGATGATATCAATTATGAAAATAATTTCAAATGAATTTCAAGAAATTCGTTGTGGCAGTGGCCTAACAAAACGGTCTCTGAAAACATCTAAAACTGTGGTCTAACCACCTCAAACTCTTCTGTTTAAATCAATATACAATATATTTCTTTTCCATTAAATATGCATTTAGTTATGTAATAGAGGAAAACAAGACTTGATTGGTTTCTTATTACATAAACTGAACTAATCCATTTGTAGCCCCGACAAAATAAAACATGAACTAATATCCGAAGTTTCCATTGCGTATTTTACTGGTTTTATATACAGGAATAACTTGTTGTATATATCTATTTGTTACCTAAACAATAAACAAATGTAACTATTGATGATACATAGATAACGATCAATTAAAGGAACAATGTTCCCACGAGCTTTCAATTTAGTATTTATGAGGTTTGTAAGAGAAAGCAAGGCATGTTGGTGGGTTATGTCACTCCCAATATACATTTGAATTTCGAAGTTAATATGGCTCATCTTTCCAAATATTCTCCCTCGCTATTTATTTCTTTTCTTGTTCAGTTCCTATCATTTTTTTAATATTTCCTTAAAATGTTCAAATCTATTTTTTTATTAAAAAAACAAATTCATCGTTTTCAAAAGTTAACGAAAGTGATCATCCGTTTAAAGCTTCAACATGTGATTTAATTACGGACTAAACTCTTGGATTATATAGTAGGGATCATAAAAAGCTTTATGAGTTCAATTCAACTCGCATTAAAAAAAGATCTAGTGTTATTTAAAAAGAGTTAATTTAAGATAGTTTGGACTTAGTTTACAAAAGAAAGATAGTAAAGACTTTTTGGTAGAAATTATCCTCTAGAATTTTTTTTTAAAAACATGTGTTTTATACTTTTACATGTACTCCATTAATGCCGTATACAAAGAAAATGGAAACATTAACGTAAAACCCTAAATTGTAATGTGAACTTTAGACTAAAAAAACTCATGTAACTTTTGCGTTCAGATCAATTATACACTCTATGCTTTGGTTATATATTTATAATTGCACTACCACTTATTATTATCATGGAAGATAACTTAAGACTACTCATCAACGAGAGTTAGGTGATCAAGAACATTATAAACATCGTAATCATCTTTCTGTGACTTAGCTCATCAGTTCTTCATGGTTTGACGAGTTTACAACAACAACAAAATGAAACACATAGGTCTATTAATCATCTATAAAGCCTAGAAACATCGACCCATCAAAACATTCAGTCCAGATATAGTTTGATTACCTGATTAGTTTGACTTGCTCGTCCACGTATACCCTGCTGGTATTGCAAATGGGTCCACCATTTGTGCCTGCTCCTTCTTCAACCGTCGATATGAGCGTTTCTTGGTAGCCTTCAGTCTCAGCCAAGACGGCTTTGTAGTAAACAAAGGCCGTGAAGTTGATGTTCTTTTGTCAGATTCCACGTCGCATTGGTCTTCGATTCCAGCTGAGATATGTCTCGGGCTTGACAGTGGTGTGTAGAACTCATCCATCGCCGGGAGAGCCACGAACTTGCTGAATGTCATCACTACCTTCACCGTTGGTATCACCGGTATTGACAACTTGTTCCCACCAAAAACAATTTATAACTAATCAGTACTGTCTAATATTGGTTTAACCCGTTAAACCAAGATTGAAAACAAATCAAATAAATAGTAATTTAGGACGAATTAAGCTGAAAGAAAACATTTTGCTGAATAAAATCTCCGGTTCTTAACAACTTTTATCAAATTTACGTTAGACCATGATTAATCTGAAGTTTTTATGAAATGTATGTTAGAAACTGTTTTTTAACTTCCGCTAAAAACCCCTGGATTAATCATACTCTTAGATACACCTACCTAAATAAGAACTACTACCATCTAAACGTAATTAAAACTATCATACCGAGTCAAACCAAATTAAATGGGAGACCAAACCGTAAAACGGTAATTGTCCCCTACCTCGCTGATGTTGCAAATTCTAATCTTATCCAATAATATTACGACACGTATGATAAACTGTTATTGGCGCCATTTGGTTCATAAAAATGCCACGTTTATACCTTAACCGGGAAACTTCCCACCGGGAACTTAACGGTGAGCAGCTCCTTCATTCTCCGAATGGCTTCAACATCAATGGCTAAAATATCAAGCACCGGAAGCAGCTCCTCCGTATTCAAAGGAAAATCATTCGTTAACCAAACCGTAGGACTCAAGCTCTTCACAGTCTCCTTCTCTTTGATCACCGGCCAAGAAGCCGTCACCGGAACAGAAGCCGCCGGTAAAGAAACCGACTTTCTCCTCCTCCGCAACGATTTCTGAACTTCTTTCACCTCAACGTTGGAACAACTGAGCTGTCTCAATAACGGTTTTGAAAAACTCCGACCATTCTCCTTGTCCGAAAGCGAGTTCTTCTTCTCTGTTTTGGAACTGAAACTCACGTTCTTGACCTCGTAACCTTTAGCTTTCCACTCTCCAACGGTCTCAACCTTCTCTTTCCCTCGCCAATTCTTCAACACAACGAGCTCTGCTTTCGTAACATCCATCTCACTAACACTACCCGAATCACCAGCCTTCTCAAAAGCGTTTGCGTTTGCTATCGTTTTGTCATCTCTGTTCAACACAAGCAACGTACCGGGAGACTCGTCCTCTTCACTAAGGAAGAGAAATCTCTGGTTTGCGCGGCGAATTTTAAACCGGTCGAACCCGGTTAACGACGTATCGACACGTAGATCACTGCCTCGTTTCCATATTTTATAAGTATCGGAAGGAGCCATCATCTCGAAGAAAGGTATCACGGAGCTCTCGAAATCGATAGAAACCTCAAAGTAGAAGTCTCTCATGCGGCCAAGAACCGCGATCATATACGGCAGCCTACGTCTCCACTTACACCAACCCGAACGTCTTTGATCACGGAGAATAATCTCCGTGATCTCGGCGTTCCCACGAGAAACCGCCTCGTTCAAAGCGTTCCAACCGGCGACGTTCTTAAGCGTGACATCAGCGCCGGCTGAAGATATTGTCTTCACGGCGAGAAGGTCGCCAAGACGGACCGCTAAGTGGAGAGGCGTTTCTTGGAATGGAACGTCGCGGCGGTCGATGACGGCAGAGATTATCTCGGCGACACGGTCTTGGCTTATTGAGTCGGACTCTGTGTGGATTTGTTCTGGTTCGGTTAGTTTGGGTAAGGATGAGACGAGACGGAGCAAACCGGGGTGGTCTCCTGAAACGACGGCGTAATGGAATGGACTGTGAGCGTAATCATCTAGAGTTGTGGTTGGTATCTTCACCGGGGAAGGCTTTGCCATGCTATCTCCAGTGCTCAAGAGTTTGAATAACTCTTAAAACAAATTATAAGTATTCATAAAAAAAAAAACAAATTATAAGTAATGTTTCGGGTCCGATTGGAGATGTGGCTTTTATGGCTTTAGACAATTACACAGTCTTTACAGTCTAAATTTTACCAATCACACTTTTCTCAACATTTTCTATTCTAAAGTGTCTAAAGTCAATTTAAGTTTCTCTCTCCTCTTTCACGTTATATTTTCTAAAGCCAACTAAAGTGACTTTCACAACAAAATTTGTTTTTTCTTTTTTTTTTCTGTTTACTTAACTACTAATTATTTTTATCCCACAACAACTTTGTAACTTTTATATACATAATTATTAATTTTATCATAAATACTTTTAGTGAATAAATTTTAATTTTTTATTCTTGTTCTTTTAAGATCCATATTGCATTACTTTTGATGTCATTTACATTTTTCTTTACTAAATATATAATTTTACATCATTAAATGAAATATTGAAGTAACATTTACATATTCATAATTTTTAACTATTAATAATACATCATTAAATGAAATATTGAAGTAATATTTACATATTCGGGTTTTTGGATATTTTAATTTATAAAGTAAAAACTATATAGAGATAAATATATATTAAATTTAAAATAAATAATATTTTTATTATATTTAATATATTCGGATATCCGTTCCTTTTCGGTTTTTGGTAAAAAAAATAGGAACTATTCGGGTTATTTCAGTTTTGAAAAAACAGATTGAAACAAATACGTAATATGTTTTCGATAATGAATCATAAATAAATATTTATAACAGTCAAAGCTTCTAAAGCTGTAGATACCAATCATGTTTTTAAATTTTTCTAAAGTAACAGTCACAGTCTTTAAAGCCAAAATCTCTACAGCCATAATTCTAAAGTCAAAGTCTAAAGCGAAAGTCGTTACCAATCGGATTCGTGTGTTTTATCTAGTCAACAGTCAACGCAAAAACAATTAAATTCCATAACTCTTTAACTAAGTGAATACTTTATTACTACATTTTTCTGACTAACAATTTTTTTAAAATCTCAGACTTTGTGAATACTCTGTAATAATGTACAACAATTAACAGCTATTCACATCCTAAATAGGATTTATTATTTACAACAAATAAGATCTATGTGAGAAAAGAAAAGTCAATTCCAAACAAGCCAATTAAAATTTGTGACTGGCCTTTTTATACATACCAAATTAACATGTTATGGTCAAATATCAAGTAATGAATCATTATGACATTTAAATATGACAGTTAGAACAACAAAAGCGTTTTCTCTTTATTTTTTTTTAAATTCACCTTTTGAGGTTAAGTATATTTTGCAACTAATTTTTAATGTTTCTGTAATTTATTTGTCAGGAAATGTGTGTAGATAGATTATCTGATGAAAATAAAAATAAAAATTTATGGATTGTTTTTGAACCCGCTGAACGATAAAGAGACTCTAAGACCTGTCTTTGTTGCGGTTGGGTTCAGTTTCTGTTCGTGTCCAAACATTAACCTTGAGTCTTGCCCTCCTCTGTGTCTCTCTATCCACGCCCGAACCTGAAACTTCTCGACACAGAAAAAAAAGCTTAGAGCTCTGGTAGTAATGGCGGGTTTGGCAATTTCACCTCCTCTCAGTCTCACCTTCTCTTCTCAAACTAGAAACGCTAAACCCACTTCGTATCTATCTCACAATCAAAGGTACTACCGCTTCAATTCTACACTTGTTCAATTGTTAATTGTATTGTATGACCCAAAGTTTCTCCCTTTTATTGTTTATTTTGATTGTGTGTAGAAATCTTACAAGGCGTATAGTTTCTGCTCTTCCAAGTCCTTATGGCGATTCATTGAAAGCTGGTAACTTTGAATCCTCTTTGAATTTTTTGTTGTTGGGTTTAGGAGATAAGTTAGAGCTGAGTTGATTGTTTGAAGCTGGAGAAGTATTGTGTCTAAGATTTATGTTGTGTTTTGATGCATTTCAGGACTTTCCAGTACTTTCTCTGGATCCCCAATAAAGATTAACAACAATGAACCTCGTAGCATTGATCCAAGGTCATCTCTATTCTATTTTTTTCCCTTTCTTGATTAGTGTCTGTGTTTCTCTTAAGCTAGATTGATTGACTCTCCAAGTTCTTAGTACTTATGTTTCACCTGTCTTCAGTGTGTTTTAACTGAGTTTGTTTCGTCTGTGTTGCAATGTTTAGGTTTGGAGTGATAAATGCGAAGAAAGGAAACCCTCCTGTAATGCCATCAGTGATGACCCCTGGAGGACCTTTGGATCTTTCTTCTGTGTTATTCCGCAACCGTATTATCTTCATTGGACAACCAATCAACGCACAGGTTGCTCAGCGTGTCATATCTCAGCTTGTAACCCTCGCTTCTATTGATGATAAATCCGACATCTTGGTTAGCTCAATAAACTTATTCTTCGTCCCACACCTACTTTTCAAAGAAAATAAAATCTCATGACAAGTGAGTGTTCTCTGATGTAGGTGTACTTGAATTGTCCTGGAGGCAGTACTTACTCCGTCTTAGCCATTTATGACTGCATGTCTTGGGTGAGTTTCCTTCCTGTGATGATGTTTTCGTTCACACAGGAACTGTAGTATATTAACCTGTTGAGATTTGCTTGTAAATGATGTTTTAGATAAAGCCTAAAGTTGGAACAGTAGCGTTTGGAGTAGCAGCGAGTCAAGGAGCACTTCTTCTTGCTGGAGGTGAGAAAGGAATGCGCTATGCAATGCCAAACACTCGTGTCATGATACATCAACCTCAAACTGGATGCGGAGTATGGGCTCTTGAACTCTCCTCATCAATAATTGGAATCATATACGCAATAAACTTAAAAACTGATTTTGTGTTAACTTAAATTTTGCAGGGACATGTGGAGGACGTGAGGAGACAAGTGAATGAAGCTATTGAAGCCAGACAAGTAAGTCTTTCTCTTTATTCTCATGCTTCTTGGTTTAAAGAAGGTTTAAGTCTTTGGAGCTAAGAATTTGAATATTTGATCTGATTGGTTATTTCTGTTGTCTCTTGGGTGCAGAAAATTGACAGGATGTATGCAGCTTTCACTGGACAAACTCTTGAGAAAGTGCAGCAATACACTGAAAGAGATCGTTTCTTATCCGCCTCTGAGGTAATCTTACCAACCAAATCCAATACATTAACTCATGGACATGGTCTTTTCTCTTCATAAGTATCCTTTTATACCAATGTTGAATCTTGCATATTGATATTTTCTAGTTCTTTTCTTATGTAGGCGCTTGAGTTCGGACTTATCGATGGACTATTGGAAACAGAATACTGAAACAGCATGCAGGACAATGCATAGAGGCTGCTCATTGCATGTTCAGACCTTCCCATTTCATTTGAATATTGAACAGCTGTAAACCAATCTTAAAACTTATGTTCTATTTCGGTTAGGTCCAGCTTGTTACTATTCAGTTAGGTTATGCAATTGCCAATGCGTATGTCGTTTGGATAGCGATTCTGTAACATTACTATTTGTCAGAACAAAATGTGAACAAATTTGCAATAATGTGGGCTGCACTGAATTAGTAGCTCCTAAAATGTCTTCTTTAAAATGTATATCACAAACCAAAAAGACAAAAAGTAATCTCTGAAGCTCTGCTCTCTATAACCATCTGCGCCTGGACAATCATCATCAAGCCCCTGTCAAGAAAAATCCAGTTTCTTCCCATTAAAAATGGCTGACTCAATCCAAAGTATAAGTTAAGATCCAAAAGATAAGATTAACAAACAGGTGACTAAATGCAGGTCAAAGGAGAAAGACTTGCCATAGTTTTGGCGCACTCCTGTAAATTTGTGGATTGCCTTCAGAAGGGAACCATATCTCATATACTCCAAAGATCCCATATGTCTATCAACAAACAAAACACCAAGAAAAGACCAAATTTATGAGATTCAGCTCTGAAGATATAAGAGGTAATGATTAGAAAATAGAGAAAGAGAGTACAAAGAACATACACTATCTCAGTGTATCGAAGTCTCCAAGCAGGGAAACCGAGGTGACTCCTCACAGGTCCATAAACCAGCATCAGATCAGGTACATGTACGTTCTCACCTGCCAGAGTTTAGATCATCAGTTCCTTTTACAAGTGATTTGAGTTCCAAATGAGAGAATCAACACAAACCAACAACTCTTAATGCTTCATTTAAATGAGACTCAGTAAAAACATTTTCCCCTTCATCATTCTCAAGATGGCTGGATTTCAAGTACTTCTCAAGTAGTATGTTGGCTGCTTTCACAACAGCTTCTTTATTGTCTGAGGAGGAAATGAACTCTATAGCAATGCCGTTCCGGTCAGGAGAAGTTTCCTTTTCACCAGTCTCCTATGAAAGAAGATAGCAATCTAAATAGCTCCATTTGCAGATATTTTTTGTGTGATAGTAATAAGGTTCTTTCATATAATGAGATAGAGAAGGTAAAGAAAAGGTATTTGAGAATAACATACCTGTAATAACATTGAGCCCGGCACCATTTCAAGGATCATATCCTTGGACTTCTTCAGTAAGCCTAACAAGAAGCAAAGATTCAGACATCATATGCATTAATGAAGGAACAATTAGAGATGATTTGATGAAAGCATCTTACCTTGGGAGTCAAACAGACCAACTTGTTTCACTCCAATGGTCGTTAGCCATTGTAAAAGCTCAACAATCTTGGAAACATCTCTAGCTACTTCGATATCCACTACCACAGCTAGACACCGGAGTTTGTCAATGTCTATGGAACTGTACTTTCGAATCAATCCTAAAGAGATTGCATAGCTTTGGATTGCCTCAAAGATGCCAAAGACGGTGTGACATAAGCTCACAATTATGTGAATGAAACGCCATAGCAAATCAAGACCAAGATCACTAATCTGTGGGGACACAAAAAAATTCAGACACATATGAACAAATGAATTACAAATAACTAAATTTCACATGATCTAAGCACGTCTGAGACAACACCAAACTGTTTTTAGTCACTTAGTTCCATAAGCCTTGAAGTACTAGTAAACTAAAAATCCTCCCAAAGATCATATAACAACAAGGAGAGAACTCACTTGGCCAATCCAGAAACTCAGGAGCAGCATCGGTTCATTGAAATCCATATATCTGAAAATTACAGAGAAACACACAACATAACCAGATAAATAAGATCGGTTGCAACAGAATCAGTACAACGGAACAGGAGGACAACATTCAGACAAATGATTTTTTCATAACATCCGTTAATAGGCATATAATTAAAAGAAGACAGAAGCTGAATTAACACACACACAAAAAAAGAGACAGATCAGAGAAAACATAGACGCACACAAGAAGTGTCTGTCTCCGTAAACAACGAATAAACCAATCGAGCTATCCTAAAACCCAAAACTAATCGAGGACAAAAGGAAGAACTTTTGGGAGGTGAGAATAGGAAATGAACTCACTTTCCAGAGTCTCTTAGCCTCTAGATCAAACCCAGAATCCTAGTTTTGGCAAATTAAGTGTGTTGCGAAATTATCTCCCTATCTGAGGGTCTTCTGGGAGTTCAAACTCTTTTCACTTGTGTCCTAACTTTACTTGTCATGCTTTTGTTGTGAATCACATTTTTTTTCCTTTGCCTTTCTCATATGATTTAATAACAAAACATAAAACCACATTAACCAACAGACAAACATAGTTTAATGCAGAATTACAAGAAGATAAAAACAGTCTCCTTTACTTTGATATTCAGAACAAACACTCAAAAGTCCTACAAATCAAATCGATCAGCAATCTAGTGTTGATTCTTGTTTGGTCAGAATATAAAGATTGATTAGGCCACTCTTCCCCAAGACTCAAAGAGTAATGCATATACAATCTTAGCTTACAAAAGGTGTTTGTAGTAGTAGTAAACAGACTCTATTGAGTCGAATCTTCAGAGAACCTAGGATCAAACCCTGTGGAGGAAGAAGAATGCACAGAACCACCACCACCAGCACCAGACCCACGTTGCAGCTCAAGCACAAGCCATCTAACCGCTCTACTCATCTGTTCCAACCTCACTGCACTAATGGGAGGGAGACTAGTCGCAGCACCAACACTTTGGTGGCCTGAGTTACCTCCTGTTGTTGTTGTTGTTAAACCAGTAGCCTCATCAACCAAACACTCAGATCCAATCCTCTGCTTCACTGACTCCACAAACTCCTCAGCTTGATCACAAGCCACACGGAACAACTCCCATTTCTCCTTGAAATTCTCTAACGCAGCATCAGTTAGAGAAGCTTTTACCCCACCTGCACTCTCTTTGGACTCGAGAACATCAGCTGAGGCGATAACAAACTTCTCGTAAGCCTTGTTCAACGAGTCCACAATGTTATCCATTACCACTTCACAAATCTGCTTATATCAATCAAGTACCAATCAAATATAATAAAAGTATGAGATTTCCAATTCTAAAAACAATCACTTTCTCTACAGAATCAACAAACAAGCAAGAGCCCAGTAAAGTCTAAAACTTTAGGCACTGAAACAAGAACACTAAACACAACAACTCTTGTAAAGTCTAAAACTTTATGCATTGAAACAAGAACCCTAAACACACAAAAAAACTCTAAATTGGTTGTTCTATGAGAATCCTAGGGTCGAAAACGAAGCAATGGAAGCTTAAAGATTTCATCTTTGTTAGCTTAACATGTTCGATTGCTTCTGGAAACTTACCGGAGCTGAAACGGAGATTCGATGATTGTGTCTCTACTTTCGCTCTCTTTGTATATCTGGTTAGGCTTATTGTTACAACAAGACCGGGTTTGATACAAACCTAACCGAGATAAACCGGATAGGTGATACTATGAAATTTTATTTAGTTAGTCTTTTTTTCTGTCAACCAACTCATCCAAAAAAGAAAATATAGTAAAACCTCTATAATTAATAATGTTGATACTATGAAATTTTATTAATTTATAGAGATATTAATTAAATTTTTTTCCTTATTTGGATTTCTTTTTAAGATTATTTATTTAGTTAGATAATTTTTTTTTATTTTAATGTATAGAGGTTAATTATTATTTTATAAAATTTGACATTTATATTAATTTTCTTATATTATTTAGTGTATATAATATATATTACATAGAATCTAAATGTAGTTTTAGTTATACTACTACTAAATCTCATCAAGAATATATAAGTGTCAAAAATATATAGAGATAATTCCATGTAAATATAAAATAAACAAGATAATGATAGGTTCTTACTTATATAAAACATGTATATATAAAAAAATATTAATTTATAATTTTAATAAGATTATATACATACATATATTTTTCTAAAAAACATTATTTTATTATTTTATCGATTTATGTTAAATTTTGAATCAATTCAAGTTAAGACCGATAAAATTTATTAATACATTAATACAACATTTCAGCCAATGAATATGTAACCATGAAATCATTCTCTGTCTTCTCCACCCTTTAGTACAACATTTCTTCACTTCTGACTAAATGATTTCAACAAATTTTTAGTTTTCAACTTTTTAAATGTCGATTAATAATGTTATTACAACTTATAGAAAACACTACATAGATAATAATACATTCGATAATTCCACATGTTTTATAAAAAAATATGTCTAACATCCTGACTTTGTTTTATGAAATATATTAATGGTCGAATTTTTGTATCAGGACAAGATTTCTTGTAAACATTTCTTAGCATTTTACTTACTTTTCTCGGATTCATAGATGTTCCGGTGTATGATAGTTTTTTTTTGTGTCAATATTGCTGTTCTGGTGTATATAATAATAGTTAATGAATTATTAGTCAATCATTATAAAATTATAGAATTCTTTTTTTTATGATTATCAATTGATTCCTAAAAAGAAATAAATGTCCAACAGAATATCCATGAGTCAACAAAACTATTTATTATTGACAGAGGAAAAAAATCTATTTCTTTCTTTTGTTTTGGTCAGCTAGATTATTACCAAAAAAAATAAAATAAAAATAATATATGTGTGTGTGTGTAATGTACGTAGCGTCTTGAAAGTGTGGACCTTTCGTCTGAGTTTCCGAGTTTACTCTTCTTTCCGAAAGACCTTCCAGAAGACAGAGCATAAAAATCCACACTTTTCTTTTGTTGTTGTTGTTGTGTCTTTACTTTCTCACCAAACACATCTCTCCATTGACACTTCTGTTGACCTAACTCCTCCTCCCTTCCTTCGCATTGCTCGATTTCCTCCTTCTCCTAAACACAAAAAAAATCTATGGCTTTGAGGTGTTTCCCCATCTGGGTTTGTCCCCAAACGCCTCATCGTTACCCTCTTGTGAGTCGTCGTGTCTCCCTTTGGGAATGCTCCTCCTCTGCTGCTTCTTCCCAGAGAGCCGTCACTGCTGTTGAAGGCGAGGGGCGTGAGCTCAAGAAGCAATCTACTGATGAAATGGGTCTGGTTAGGGAGGCAAAGTCGGGTGCTTTTCATAGAGACTTGAGCATGCTTCCTAGTGAGTCAACTCGTTCGTTTAGTTTCATTGACACGTGGTTTTATTTATGGTCTTTAATTTGATAATGTTGATTGGTTTGTTTGTGTTTATGTGTTAATGCAATTTGAGATTGGTGATTGTTAGGGATCCTTTGTTTGAGCAGATGAGAGATTATTGCTGGTAGAGATGTTGTGGTGGATCATTTAGGAATCTTTTTGTTTTCACATTCTTACCACTAGCCTTGGTTTTGTCAGAAGAGCTAACAATGACGATCATGTCCTTGCCTAGGTTTACTTGAGATCTTTTAAAACACAATTGTATTAAAGTCCTTGGAATTCTTCTCCTCTAGATTTCTGTATTTACGAGTATTATCCAGATGTTACAGATACTCTTAAATGAGATCTATGGCTTGACAATTGACATTACTAATGTTTGCCGCTTATGTATGTCTTTGATTCCAAGAATGGTATATATTTTTTTGACATAAGATTCCTTCTTTTTACTATATTAGTAGCTGCACTTGATCTTTTTAGCTTTTTATCTTTGGTGTCCTGTAATCTAATAAATGCATCGATCAAGGGCTTGCTACACTTGTATTGATTTGTTCCAAACATGGAGTAGTATGTTTTGTTAATACCAAAACCTTTCTTCCATATAAGTAGCTGCACTGGATGTTTCAGATTCAATCTTTCTTGTCGTGTAGTCTCATGGTTCATTGATTATTTAAGGCTTGCTGCATGTGTTATCATCCATTTTGAGTGAGATCCAATCATCCAAATGTTGCTATTACATAGTAACGTGCTTCTCCCATAAGTATTATATAACTTAAATGCATTGTCTCTGTCATAGCCTCAATATTATTGATCTTGTTACTTTATTTTATTTCTCCCCTTTTCAAGCCCTAACACTTAAAGTTCATTACAGAACCGCTAACTGCAAGCAGTCTTTACTCTTCTGCTGGAGATGATTCAGAAGTGCGAATATCTTTTCAGGTGAAGTATTACATTCCTCACGTAGCTGCAAATATGTGTTTCTGTTTCTTTTATTTTGCTTATGTTTTACATTACTCTCCCATTGCAGGGCATACCAGGTGCATATAGCGAGACAGCAGCACTAGAAGCATATCCAAACTGTGAAACTGTGCCTTGTGAACATTTTGAAACTGCGTTCCAGGTTTATGATTTATCAGTCACCTTTGACATATATGAACCCACACAACAAGTTGTATGGTGCTTTACTATGTTCTCGTATGATTGAATCTTCAGGCTGTTGAGCTTTGGTTGGTGGATAAAGCAGTACTACCGATTGAGAATTCAGTAGGTGGTAGTATCCACCGTAATTATGATCTGCTTCTTCGTCATAGGCTTCACATTGTCCAAGAAGTCCATTTGCATGTGAATCATTGTCTCTTAGGAGTGCCTGGTGTTACAAAGGAAGAGATTAAATGCGTTCTTAGCCATCCTCAGGTTCTTCTTCTTCACAGACTCTCTCTTCTAAGTTCACTGATGTTGAGTACTTTTCTTTCTTCTATCTTCTCCAGGCGCTTGATCAGTGTGTGAACTCACTTAACGATTTAGGCATACAGAGAATCTCTGCAAAAGACACTGCTACTGCTGCTCAGGTAACAGCTTGAGATTTATCAATCTTTTTTGTTAGTTCAGCTCACAAATAATGAAACGTGTAAGTGTTTCTTCAGAATGTTGCTTCAAGTGGTAAGAAGGATATAGGAGCAATAGCGAGTGTACGGGCTGCAAATATATATGGTCTGGATATTCTTGCCGAGAACATACAAGTAATTACTCTCAGCTGATCAAAACTATTGTTTATCTGCAATCTTTATGTTGATGTTTTGTTTTCTTTCTACGGTGTTTAGGATGATGTTAACAATGTGACTCGTTTTCTGATACTTGCGAGAGAGCCAATGATTCCAAGAACAGATCGACCATATAAGGTAATCAAGAATCAGATCTTTATATGCCTAACTGAATCAGCTGAAGCTTATTAGTCCTAGTAGTAATGCTTTTGTTTATGTCAGACAAGTATTGTGTTCTCGCTGGAAGAAGGTCCTGGTGTGCTGTTCAAGGCCTTGGCTGTTTTTGCATTAAGAAGCATTAACTTATCCAAGATAGAAAGTCGTCCGCAAAGAAGAAGACCGCTAAGAGTAGTTGATGGTTCTAACAATGGAAGCGCCAAGTAAGTATAGTTGTTAGTTACTTAGTTCTAAACGCACAACATGAACACATCTTTTTTTTGGGAAGTTAGTTGAGTGTTGTTTCGTGATGATGATGATGTTGATAGGTCCTTTGATTACTTATTCTACATTGATTTTGAAGCTTCCATGGCTGAAATACGTGCTCAGCATGCCCTTGGCCATCTACAGGTCTCAGTCCTCTCAAACTCCATAGCTTTTATAGCTGGTCTCAAGTGTAACCGATTCTAAAGATCTTAGTCTTTTGGTTTTACAGGAATTCACGAGTTTCATCCGTATACTCGGGTGTTATCCCGTGGATTTAGTCAGATAACGAAGAAAAATCTCAAGCTTTGCATGTAGCCATACTGTGCAGAACCATGTGAATATAAACCAAACAGAAGAACCAGTTTTATGGCTTTGGTTATACCGCAAGACTCTTCTTTCACCATTCTCTTATCTTCGAAGCTTAGCTTCAAACTCATCATTGCTGAGACAAACAGTTAATCTGTAGCTTATTGTCATAGAACATGATTTTTGTACATCAAATTTAAGTTCAGTGTATACTTTAGACATTTCTCATGTTTTAGTGATCGTTTAACTCTGCTTACTCTCATAATCTTCACCACATGTTGTGTGGGAATACTAACAATAACATTTACGCAGACAGGTTTTACACAAAACATTGCTCCCCAACAAAGTTAACAAGAGACTACTTTTCATGTACTACAAACAAAACAACGAATCACAAAATTTTGATAAAAATACAAGTGTTTATGAACCTAGAATTGTATAAATGAAAAATCACCAGAAGGGTAACAAAACATAAGTTACAAGAATAATAATACTGACGCAGAAGCCTCTTGAGAGACTCCTTGAGGAGGTTTCACCAGCTGCAACTTCAGTGGAATTCACCACAGTCTGTGTCTTGTTTCCAACCTTCTTGCTGCACAAATGAGCCAAGGCCAAGTAAACAAAACATACAAAATACATAACTAATAACGTTTTATAAGTTTTTAATGTCACAACTTTCTTACCTTCCTGGGAAAATGCAGCTTCCATGACCTGAAATATACACATTCTCTTGATTTAGAAACTTCCCCAATGAAACAAAAGAATAGAGGATGAAGCAAAGAGCTTACTTGGGTCTGTAGTAGTGATCATTGCAACACCTTTGAAGTCACAAGAACCAGAAGCTCTACCTTCCTTCTGGTAATAACTATTAAAAGCAAAAGAGGCATGTCCCTTCACATTATTCGGTTGATAACAACTCTCCCCAGGTTGAATCTCACTACAATTCGCTCTCCCAGGTCCACAAGCCCAATCCAACGCAGCCTGAAGCGTCTTCACATCAACCCCATCCATAGCAACACAATACGTCTTATTAGTCGTATCATTCGCTAAGAAACTCCCACTTCCAGACACATGAAGCAAATAAACCGGAGTAGTGTTCCCATAAAACAACCCCCAGCTCGCTTCACTAACCGGAGGCGCCCTCTTATCCTCATTAAACAGCTCATAGATGTAAACACTCGGTGTCATCTCAGGGTGCAAAGGAGTACCAGTTCTATCAAACACATGCTTGATCAAATTCGAGTTATACGTATCAGCGTTATCTATAGTCGCGTAAGGCTCTTTAGAATCACCTTGAGAAGGCCAACCAGTCTCGGTCACAAGCACAACAACATCTGTCACATTCAAATTCTTCATCGAAACATAAGCAGCGTCGACCATAGCGTCAAGAACGTTAGTGTAATGCAACAAAGTGTTGGGATCAACCATCTCTTTAGCAGGTGTCAACGGCTCGAACAAACAGTTATCTAACGGAACAACGCCTTTGTTCTGCATATAAACATAGTAAGGATAAAGATTCATCATCAGAGGAGAGCCTGTTTTTGACAAGAACTGAAGTAACGGCTCCATAACCGAACGCCAAGTCTGGTTAAAGTAAGCTTGAGAAGGAGGGAACGTGTCAAGCATTATAGAAGCTGCGTGAGGAGTAGAGACTTTAATCTGAGTGTGGAGATTCGAAGCGACGAGAGCATTGTAAAGAGACTGAATCGCTGGTAAGAGAAGAGGAGCTGAAGAAGGGACAGTTGTTAAAACCTCATCACCAACAGAGATGGCAGTGATTAACGTCTCGGGGTAGTAAGCGACAACGTTACGGCCGATCCAGGAAGCGGCGGTGGTGTTTGAGGATCCGATAGCGAGGAGCTGGTTGTTTGGGACGCTGATGATGACACGTATCTTGGTTTTGGAGAGGGCTTTGAGAAGCTCTGGATCAGCGTCGTAGAGACGGATGTGGGTTATTTTCTGGGTTTGGAGGAACTTGACGAGTGAGGAAGGTGTGAGGAGTGAGGTGAGGTCGGTTCCGATGTTGAATCCGACGAATGGGTCTTTGTCTTGTTCTTGGAGCTTGTTGTCTTCCGATAAAGGCCAAGACTTTGCTGCAAAACAAAAAAAGTTTGGAGATTGAATAAAAATTGAAACTTTGGTGAAGATTATATTGCAAAAGCTTGTCGGAATGTGAACTAATTAACATGTCGGAATGGAAGATTATTACAAAGCTTGTCGGAATGTGAACTAATTAACATGTCGGAATGGAAGATTATTACAAAACTTGTCGGAATGTGAACTAATTAACATGTCGGAATGGGAGATTATTACAAAAGCTTGTCGGAATTTGAAGTAACATGTCGGAATGAAAGAAGAACTTACCAGAAATGGAAAGAGTGAAGATTACAGTGAAGAAGAGGAGAAGAAGAGGAGGGATGGTGGGAGACATGTTAGTGAATGGCATTGAATTGATTTTGGAACTCTACTGGTTCGGATTCAGAGTCAGCTACAGATCCTTGCATTATCTTTTAGTTCTTTCACTGGATTTGTTTACTGTTTGGTTGAGATAAGAGAAGGGAGATTTAGACATAATGTTAGTTTAGGGGTTTTGTGTTTGAGGATTTATGTCTCTCTTTCTGTGCTTCACGTGATTATACTCTGCTCGCTCCTCTCCTCTCCCCCACACAGACTCGTTGAATTTCAGATTGTGGGAAATTACGGTAATAGCCTTCAGTAGTGATAAAAAAGTGCCAGCTAGACATCACTATTCTTCAAGAATAATAAATTTTCGTACACAAAAGTATTGTTCAAAAATAATTAAAATTTCAAACTTTTGCGACATGCCATATTAGAGTATTCAAGTGAATTCATTCAAAATTGAAAAACTTTCCATAAAAGTGCTTTATTACTTTATGTATATTAAAAAGTGCATTTTATTTTTGGGTTATTAATTAGTTTCTAGTATTGTCTTTCAATGTTGGTGTTGACCGCATGTGATTAAAAAGTGGAAAATAAAAGAAGATTATAAAATTTATAATGCGCTTTTGTGGAAATTTATTATTAGGTGGGATTTTTCTCTTTTTTTTTATATATTATTCTGTTACTCAAATATCCATCAAAAACATTGAAATATAGTTTGTAACAAAGTAATGTACAAAAAAATAGTAATAACCGTAATGCGTTTGTTTTGTTGAGTAGCTAAAACATTGACTAGGAGTGGTCCATTTTTATTGATTTCTTTCATGATAACACATTTCCTCCTCTCAACCAATAAACTAACTTAATAAATGCTTTTTCTAAAACTAAAACTATTGTGACAAGTTGTAAGTAAGTTAACAAATGTAACGTTTTACATATATCAATTTCTAGGGAACATAGTGGTGCATTCGAAAAGAAAAATATAAAACAGCAATCCGACAAACTTGTGAATCAGAGAGGTCCATCTGGCAACTCTTATGATACACACAATCAAATATATATAAAAAAAAAGAGAGGACAACTTTCTAGAGAACTTAAATTTAAAACATTTTATAGTCTTATAGAAACATTATGAGCATCTTTGTTTGTTCGTATGTATCTGAATCCAGATATTAGTATTGTTAATGTTAAATATAGTTAAATTAAATCAAATGTACTAGTAATTATTTTATCATACGTGAAAATGTATTATTAAAAAAAAAATTCAAATACACATCTACTGGGCTTCTTCCCTTAGACTGCCTCGATTCATATGGTTGGGCTTATAACTCTTGGGCCCGTGGGCTTTTTTATTATTATACCCTTCATCATTGTACTCCTTGCCGACAAAAAACAAATAATTTCTGTACAACCACGTGTTTCCCATGGGTGTTAGGTTTTACTTCACCATCGTTCCCCAAAACAATTAATCTAACGGCTGCAATGCGTCTGTGATGAAAACACTACATCACAGGCAGTAGCCAAGAACTCGTCACTCACTTAAGATTATAAAGCGACAGTACATTGCTGTCTTAACGAAAATTATCCAAAGCCCCAAGTGGTGTGTGTGTATCTTCTCAGTTTCGCTCATCTTCTATCAGGTGAGTAACTGTAGCAGATGATCTACGTTTCTACATTTCGATGATCATATCCTCGTTGATCGCATTCTAGATCTCATTTCTTTGTCATATGAATCATATTTTTTTTTTTATTGAATCTGAGTTAATTATGAATTTTTATTGGATTTGATCGTATGGGTTTCATGGGATCTCAATGTTCATTGCAAAAACTGTTTAAAGTTTTGATTTTTATCTCTGTTTTTTTTTTTAATTGTAGAAAAAATGGCAGAGGTAGCTCAAAATGCAGAGTTGATGGATTGGCCAAAGAAGGATAACCGTCGATTTCTACATGTTGTCTACCGTGTTGGTGATCTTGATCGCACTATCAAGTATATGTCTTACCTTCTCTGTTTCATTCATATACTATTGTTATTACTATTTATATAACATGAGTTATTTTTCTTGACTAGGTTTTACACGGAGTGCTTTGGCATGAAGGTGTTGAGACAAAGAGATGTCCCTGAGGAGAAGTATTCTAATGCTTTCCTTGGTTTTGGTCCTGAAACCTCCAACTTCGTTGTTGAGCTCACTTACAGTATATGCCCCTATCTCTCTTTGTCTACAGAAGTGTGGTTTCTTATTAGAGTCTAACATGTTTTGATGTTTATAGATTATGGTGTTAGCTCCTATGACATTGGAACTGGATTTGGGCATTTCGCTATCTCTACTCAAGATGTAAGTCGTCCCTCTTGCTATGATTTTTAGAATTGTAGAATCAATCGGGTCCCTGAATGTGGAGAGTTTTGTTTGTTTCAGGTTTCCAAGATGGTTGAGACCGTCCGTGCCAAGGGTGGAAATGTCACCAGAGAGCCTGGTCCAGTCAAAGGTGGAAGCAGTGTTATTGCGTTTGTCAAGGACCCTGATGGTTACCCTTTTGAGCTTATCCAGAGAGGTCCAACTCCTGAACCACTCTGCCAAGTCATGCTTCGTGTTGGTGATCTTGACCGCGCCATCAAGTTCTATGAGAAGGTATCTTTATGTTTGATAAGGGAATGAACATTTCTGTTTTCTAGAAATGCTTCTTGCTTGTATATCTCACTTTTAATTAAATTCTACAGGCTCTTGGGATGAGACTCTTGAGAAAGATTGAGAGACCTGAGTACAAGGTGAAGTAATCAGATTTATATACAATACAGACAAGTAATTTTACCTTTCTGAGCTACCTTGTGACTTATTAACGAATGTTTTTTTTTTGTGGGACGAAACAGTATACCATAGGCATGCTGGGATACGCTGAGGAATATGAGTCGATAGTTTTGGAGCTGACCTATAACTACGACGTGACTGAGTACACAAAGGGAAACGCATATGCACAGGTGTCAGCTTAGACTGTTGCTACTTTTTATTTTGTCTTTAACATGTTTGTGTTCTGTCCATCAAATGATTAAATGGTTTAAATGTAATTCTCAGATTGCAATAGGCACGGATGATGTGTACAAAAGCGGTGAAGTAGTGAAGGTAGTCAATCAAGAGCTAGGAGGAAAGATCACTAGAGAAGCTGGACCTCTTCCTGGACTCGGCACCAAGATTGTCTCATTCCTCGATCCTGATGGCTGGAAAACGGTAAGGAAAATGCACATTTGAGAGATAGATGAATCTGGTCTAGTCCACTTGTAGTTAAACTATTGAAGAATCTGCTTAGATTAAGTTTGTTTGGTGGTTGCAATGACAGGTTCTGGTAGACAACAAAGATTTTCTGAAGGAACTGGAATGAGGAGAGTGATGATGAGGTCAAGATCACAGCTACAAAGAAACCATAATAATAAAATAATGTGATCTTATGAAGTAGAGGGAAAACTTGGTATTTAATCTAAAATAAGATGTTGGTGCAGTGTGTGTGTCTCTTGTGCTATGTGCTCTTTCCTTTTTATCTTTGAGCTAAACTCTTGTTACGTGCCTGAATAAAATATTTGCACCACCTGGCTTTGGTGTTTTCCGGTTATGGATGGTTTAGTAGAATTCATCAAATTGGTTTACTCGATTAAAGACAGGTTTCTTCATTTTCATAGAAGCCTAACTACAAAAGTTTCAGGCAACTACAAAAGATGTATACATCTACAAAAGTTTCAACAAGAAAATTACAAAAGAAAAAAAGTTTGATCTTTGCCAAAGATCAAACCATTTTTCTTTTGTAATTTGCAATATTTATAAATTATAATAATTATTTTGATTTTACAAAACTTGAAGGAAGAAGATAAAGATAGAACATACACTTACCACTCAATGGGGATGTGGTTGCTTTGGATGATGATAATTCCTCCTCCACCAGGACCACCACCAACCCCTTCTTTCTCTTTTAATCTTTATATCTCTCATTTTTATTCAATTATATATTTCTTTAACTCGTTTTAATCCATAGAAATATATAAATGAAATAACCAATATCTATTTATTTACTAGTGAATCATCAGTTACTTGTTATAACACTACAAAACTAGTAGCATCCAGGAATCTGGAAGAAGCTCCAGAGACAAAACACAAAGTCTCAATCTTTGTAAGATTTCTACTCGACCCTTTTCATTTCTTCTTCTCGTGTTTATGTCTCAATTCACAGAATCGCCGATTATTATGAAATGCTGACAACATTAGTTGATCATGTTTCCTATTGTCTTCTTATGTATGAAAATGAAAAGTTCGATCTCATTTTTAATTACTGAGTTCCCAGATTGTTTTTCAGATGTTGTATAACGAATCTGAATCTTATAGTTATGTCTTTATAGATTCAAAGTCTTCTCCTTTTTGTCTATTAGATTGTATTCCTTATGATTCATGTGGTTTTGACTGTTATTGGATCAAACTGTGTATATAGGTTTGATAAGATGAGAGGAGGGAGTCTATGGCAGCTAGGGCAATCCATAACCCGTCGTCTTGCTCAATCCGACAAGAAATCTGTGTCACGCCGCTACTTAGCCTCAGGTTCTGACCTGAAAAAGACAGCTCTTTACGACTTCCATGTCGCTCATGGAGGAAAGATGGTTCCTTTTGCTGGTTGGAGTATGCCAATTCAGTACAAAGACTCAATCATCGACTCAACTGTTAACTGCAGAGTCAATGGGAGTTTGTTTGATGTTGCACATATGTGTGGTTTGAGCCTCAAGGGGAAAGACTGTGTTCCCTTTTTAGAGACCCTTGTGGTTGCTGACGTGGCTGGTTTGGCTCCTGGAACAGGGAGTTTGACAGTGTTTACAAATGAGAAAGGAGGTGCTATTGATGACTCGGTGATTACCAAAGTGACTGATGAGCATATCTATTTGGTGGTGAATGCTGGTTGTAGGGATAAGGATTTGGCTCATATTGAAGAGCACATGAAGGCTTTTAAATCCAAGGGAGGTGATGTGAATTGGCATATACATGATGAGAGATCTCTTCTCGCCCTTCAGGTTTTGACCAGTCATATACTTTGTAGTTTAGTACATTGTGATCTTGAATCTTGTGCAATGTTAGGGTCCTTTGGCTGCTCCGGTGCTTCAACACCTGACTAAAGAAGACTTGAGCAAGCTTTACTTTGGACAGTTCCAGATCCTGGACATTAATGGTTCCACCTGCTTCCTTACCAGGACCGGGTTAGATTCACATGTTCCTTTGGTTCAAGTAGACTAATAGTTGTAAAGATATATAGTCAATGAATCTGTCTGTTTTGTGTGTGTTTCAGGTATACTGGGGAAGATGGTTTTGAGATCTCAGTTCCATCAGAGCATGCAGTTGATTTAGCCAAAGCAATCTTGGAGAAATCTGAAGGAAAGGTAAGGCTTACTGGTTTAGGAGCAAGAGACAGTCTCAGGCTAGAAGCTGGGCTTTGTCTATACGGTAACGACATGGAGCAACACATTACTCCTGTTGAAGCTGGACTCACATGGGCCATAGGGAAACGTAGAAGAGCTGAAGGAGGGTTTCTTGGAGCTGATGTGATACTCAAACAGCTTCAAGATGGACCTACTATCAGAAGGGTTGGGTTTTTCTCTTCGGGACCACCAGCAAGGTCGCATAGCGAGGTCCATGATGAGAATGGTAACAAGATTGGAGAGATCACGAGTGGTGGGTTTAGCCCCAACTTGAAGAAGAACATAGCCATGGGGTATGTGAAGTCTGGTCAGCACAAGACAGGGACTAAAGTCAAGATTTTGGTCCGTGGGAAACCTTATGAAGGTAACATCACCAAGATGCCGTTCGTTGCAACCAAATACTACAAGCCATCATAATATGTGTGTCCCTCTTCTTCTAATGACCTTTTGTCTCTTTTCTTTTCTTAAATGACACTTGTGTTTCCTTTCAAGTGTACGTTCTTTGCCAAGAGGGCATTGCTTATTCTACTCTTATTGAAATAAACTAAACGCAACTTTATTGATTTTTCGTTTGATTTGGAGAAAAACTGAATGTAATTAAATTGATTTTTAAGTTGTTATCCCCTAAAAATATTATTAGAGTAGTAATAGGAAAATAGGACTTGGTGGCCAAGAGTATATATATTTTTATTAGGTAGAAAGATTTAATCTAGTGCATATGGTCTTAAGGCAGCCATGTCTCATCTTCTCAGGCGGCTCAAGCTATCCCTCCTCCGAGTAAGCTACATCTTCTCTTTGTCTAGTCACATGACTGCTCCATTTATTTTAGTATGTTTGGTTTTAGTTACAAACTATATATATATCATTTGGCAGAGAAACCTCATCACGAGTACTTGTTCTCGGTGCTTCTCCTCGTGTCCCCCAATTTATTATGTGAGGGGTGGTGAAACATGGGGAGCAGTATCTAGCGAAAAAATCTCGATTCCTTCTCTTAAGGTGCCTATGGAGTCACTGAAGGAGATAGGAATCATAGGAGCATCCCATGGCTGGGTAGCAACTTTGAAAAACGGAGTGGAGGTTTGTCTTCAAGATGGCCCCGTACATGATCCAAAACGCATCATCCCTCTTCCTCCTTTTGTGACTCTGCCTCATTGCCAAACCCAAATCGTAACCAACGTAGCCATGTCTTCTTCTTCTCCTGACGATGACGATTGTATTGTGGCCGTCAAGTTCTTAGGACCTCAGCTAAGCTTGTGCAGGCCTGCTGCTGATAAAGATTGCAGCAAGTGGAGCAACATCAGAATCACAGACCCGAGCTTCTTCTCCTCCCATGTAATGTACTCTAAGAGAGATGACATGTTCTCGATGCCCGCTTCTAGAGGCCACTACATTGGATCATGGGATCTTGGGAGACACGTCAAGGAACCAAAGATTCAGATGCTGCGGCTTCCCAGCATTCCGGAAATGACAGAGAAGGAGTGGGAGAGATTAGAGTCTTGTTGTACCAAGCAACACTACTTAGTGGAGTCTTTACACACTGATGAGACTTTTATGGTCAAGTGGTACAGAGAGAGCCGTCCCATTGCCAGGACAAAACCAAGGTTATGGGAACATTTCCTTGTGTTGAAGATAGACAAGGAAGGGAACGCTGTTTACACCAAAGACATTGGACCTCTCTGCATTTTTCTCTCCAAGTCTGAAGCTTTTTGTATTCCATCTAAAACCAACCTCATAACCAGAGTCAGGAACAGCGTCTATATGTTGACAGATCACGAGTTTGCCATTGTCAAGATCGACAGTAACCAGAAGTTTCCTTCATCACCTTTCGGTTCCCGTTTACCTTACTATATTATTTCAAAAGAAGACTAATTATTATGCTGTCTGATCACTATTTACTTATAGATCTACTTATGCTTTAAAAGAAGCTTATTCTTGTGTTTTATTTTTTTTTAATTCAAGAAAAAAATATATCTTTTCTTTTGTCTATGGATTTGAGTTTCTGTTGAATCATGTTTACCACAGATTAATTTGCATTTCCTTGCTTGGTCACAACTTGTTGCTCGTTTTCTTGTGTGGCAAGCTTCCTTGCTTCAGACTTGGTATTTTATTTATATGGAAAGAAAGGAATATTCACTTTTAATTATTATTAGAGCAGTAATAGGAAAATCAGACTTGGTGGCTAAGGAAGGGTTTATATATATTTTAACGTATCATCAAGGAGTAAAAGGAAGCAGGCATGTCTCGGCAGCTAAAGCTATGGAAACTATCCCTAATAAGTCACTTGGCATCTCGGAGCTTCTCTAATTGCATATTTAGAGTAACACCTTGTGGAACTACTCGGAGAGATGGTGACGTTGGAAATCTAGCTATCTACAGCTATGTGGATAAATTGATCGATTTCACGCCAAAGAAGGTGCCTATGGAGTTAGTAAAGGGGATGGGAACCATAGGAGCATCCCACGGCTGGGTAGCAACTTTGAAAAACGGGGTTGTGTGTCTTCAAGATGACCTAGACCCCAATGCATCCTATACAGACCCAAAACGCATCCCCCTGCCTCCCCTTGTAACTCTGCCTCATTGCCAAACCCAAATCGTTACCAACATAGCCATGTCCTCTTCCTCTCCAGAGGATCAAGACTGCATCGTGGCTGTCAAGTTCTTGGGACCTCAGCTAAGCTTATGCAGGCCTGCTCAAAGAGATTGCAAGTGGAGAAACATGAGCATCTCCGACCCCAGCTTCTTCTCTTCCCATGTAATGTACTCCATGAGAGATGGGATGTTCTCCATGCCAGCTTCTGGAGGAAACTACACAGCATCATGTGATCTTGTGATGGAGGAACCAAAGATTCGGATGCTGTCTTACCCGAAACAACGCGTGTTTGAAGACCTGTATATAAAGAGCACGGGTACGGTTGTGGACAAGGAGTTTCTGAGAAAGGTCCTCTGGATGTACTCGGACTGGTCTTGTAGGATGGAGCACTACTTGGTGGAGTCAGGAAGCGAGACTTTTCTGGTGAAATGGTCTAAAGATACCAACCCACTAGACGGGACAAGTGAATTGGACCTGTTCGTTGTGTTGAGAATAGATGAGGAAGGAAACGCTGTGTATACTAAAGACTTTGCTGGTTTGTGCTTTTTCATCTCTAAGGCTGAATCCTTTTGTCTCCCGGCATCTTGTTTACATGACAAGAGACCAAACTGCATCTATCACTTAAGCAACACCAGCTTTGGAATCATTTGCATGGATGATGATGAGAACAAGAGGGGTGGAGACTGGACTTTCCCAACCCCTTTTTGGTTCCCACCAAACCTAGACTCCAATGGTAAACGTATCCTTTCTTCAGGTATTCAGTATCCAGTGAATAATAATACCTCAAGATACACTGAATAAAAATTATGAGTGGTTTTCTTTTGTTGACCTTAATTAATTAATCTTTGTTTTTATTGAATCTAGTTGTTGTTTTCAATATTAGTTTGATTTAGAGATGGTCGCAGTGAAACTATTACCTAATTATCTAATTGTTACGGTGATCTCAATGACAAATTAGAAGAGAAAGAAAACTAATTCTATTGGGCTAAACTGCAGAAACAACAACGGTTGGTTCTCTGCATTTACATGACTCAATACAAAGAACCGGTAGTTTCACCGTTGGGGAAGGTAAACCGAAGTCTTGATACTCTGATAGCACTACCAAAGATGCTGAGAACAACCTTTTAAATCAAGTGAATGGATAAAAGTTTGAGAAGAGAAGAGTGCCTAGAAGGATATAGGCTGCACAATATGACCATATCAAGTATCCCCATTTACTATGTTTAGGAGATGCAATCAAATGAGATGCAAACCAGTAAAGAGGAGGGCTCGCTGACAAGAACCGTGTTGCAACCTGCAATAATAATAATCACAAAACACACATGAGGACACTGAACAACTACCTTACTAAAAACTCAGATGTCATATTAACTTCTGTACATGTTTATCTATATGATTTTGAGGATTCTAACCTGAACATGCATGATGAAGAACGCTGTGGCTGCCATTAAACCCAAGTGTACGACAAATGGGAAAACATCAGCTGAAAAGTATCCTGATGCTTCTGCCGAGTTAGATTTCTCAGCTGCGTTGGTGGAGACAGTCACATCCTTCTTCCTGCTCAGTTTTCGCTGCCTAATGTCACTCTTTCCTAGTCAGGAAAATAGAGAGGATCCATCAGAGTGTTCAATTTTGAAACTAAAACGACATAACGAAGAAAATAATACCTTCATTTGACGAAGTTATAACGTTTGGTTCAAGTGCATCCTTGAGAGAATAAAGCCTTGCAGAAGATCTCTTTTCTTTCTCAGTAGCTTGAAAGCCCAGCGACATAAAAAGCTCAGGTCGAGTCTTCATGTAACTTACAATAGAACACACAGCTAGAGACAGTATAGGGGATGCAAGCAGAAAGTTTGGGAGCTGTTTAAACTGAAAGTATCTAAGGAAGCCTACTCCCCTGTTTACAGTTCATGTCATCAAGAAAAAACTAAAGGCTCAAAAATCAAATAGACAAAGAAAAACTTGCAAAGAACAAGAAAATGGTTAATGTTAAAACTTACCAGTAATGACTTTGAATGAAGTTATATAGCAAAGGTACCTTTGCTTTGCACCATGGCCTTAATTCATCTAGCTTATGTCGATGACATAGGTTATAGTATCCGTATGCTTGAAATGCGACAAAAGGAAGACAAATGCATACACATCGAAGAAATCCAGTAACTAAAACCTGCACACATAACTGGGAAGAGAAACAAATCACAAACTTGACAGGCTATAAAATTTCAGTGATTATATGATAGACTAGCTTGATACCATAACTTCTGAAACACGAATGAAGTTATGTGTAACTCACACAAACACGCCTTTTCAGATATAAAGCTTCATATGCTCGATGCATCGTTTGGAAGCAGATATAACCAGCATTAAGAATTCCATTGGACCTTGCACAACCAGAGAGAGCAAACCAGATAACAGCTACATTGCTGGTGCCAGACAACAAGTGATACACGCCTCCAATTGAAAACAGAGCATACAAACTTTCTGAATATCTGGAAACAATCCAATCTTCAGTTAGCTACCACTCTTAAAACACTGAACCTTTTTCTTTTCTTTTTTGACTTTCGGTAAATAAATTAAGAGATCATTGCTTGAATAGACCTTACATTGATGAATAGAATATGGAAGCTGGATTGAAACAGAAGATAACTGAAGCTTTAAATGAAGCTTCAGTGTCCTTCAAGATCATAACTGAAACCCTGTCAGCAAAGACTATAAAGTAAGACATTTCTAATACGAACTCAAAACTGTTGATTGCCTAGGCGACATGTTGGATGAATGTCAAAAGAAGTACCTGAATAGATAGATAGCAGCAAATACAAAAGCCAAGTTGCTGACAACGTAGCCAGACAACACCATCACAGCTCGAAAACCAATCAACGGAACCAAAGGCGCAAAAACTGAATCAAGACAAACAATTTTCACATCAGTGAGAGAGGCAAAAAGACCAATCAAAAACGAAGGAAACGTAACCTGTGCGAGAGAGAAGAGAGATGAAGAAAGGAAGAAGAGGCAAGAAGGCGTAAGTCTGCTCATACTCATACCCACACTCCGTGATCCTGAGGAAGTACACACTGTCCCATACCACGCTGTTTTCAAGCGTCTTCGAGACTGTATTAGCTACAAGTAACGGAGGAGGAGAATCTTCTCTGTGATGCAAGCAAGGAGGGTTGAGTGCGGCTGATGTATCGTACGGTTGAAGGAAGCTCCGCCACAAAACGGTTAAGAAGAGAACGAGAAGTCGTGAGAAGATGGCGTATTTGATCAAAATGCTTTCTTTTCTAGATGATTCCATGGATTTAGCCATTGGTCTTCTTGCAGTACACAAAGCCTCTTCCTTTCGTCAAAATTTCGAAAAGGAATGAAACTTTTAGTGACTCTCCGACAGTGATGGAGATCCAGCAGACATGGAAGACGAATCAAACTGAATTAACTACAAGAGACAGAACATTAAGTCGAAAAAAGATGATGGAGATAATAACCGGCGAAAGATTGTAGTAAAAGAAAGCTTTGACGATTTGTGATTTTTTTTTTTAGCAGAGGAGATTAAACAGCAGAGACGGAGACGAAGAATAACGGATTTGGAGTCAGTTTCAAACCTTCTAATTCAGACAGAGGTGTCCATGAACCGGCCGGTTTAATCAGATGAGTATATGTCGCTAGTTTTTAAGCCGAAATTTTCCGGTTTACTTCGGTTCACAAAGGCTTCTTTTTTTTTTAAATCCGGAGGCAGCAGTGATTGATTCGGTCCAGTTTCAACATTTTCGGACCAAACTCATGTTTAATTACAAACGCTCAAAACGTTATGAGAGCGTCGACCAAACATAAACGTAGCGTTTGTGAAGCTCTAAAATCAAACGCGCCACGTCATTAAAGACATGTCAATAAAACGCGTCACAAGCCCAATCACATGTCACTAAAACGCACAACGTAGATCGTCATAAATAACATTTCAAACAACAAAAAATAATACAGTACTAAATAACAATAAATACCCCCTTGATAAACCCTTTTATTTAAAAAAATAATAATCTAATTACTGTCTCTCTATCCTTCCTTCGATCATCGTCTTCTCAGATCCTCAAATCGAGAAGGAACCATTCAGGTTAGTTCACACCCATCTTCAAAGTGTCTATTTTTCTCGTTATAGATTTATACACCATCAAAGAGTTTTGTGTAAATTTGCGAACTTTACAACGATTGCTTCCGTTTTGGATCCAAAGTTTGGATCTTTCGAATTTTTTGATGTATTGTTTCTCAATTTCCTCTCTTAGATTTAGATTCATGTTCTTCTTATAATTGCAGTGAGTTTGTTAATTGGAGAAGGAGGAGTAAGAGGTCAAAGATGGTGAAGATGACATTGATAGCTCGTGTTACTGACGGTTTGCCATTAGCTGAGGGTCTTGATGATGGACGTGACTTACCAGATTCCGACATGTATAAGCAACAGGTCAAGGCTTTGTTCAAGAATCTCTCTAGAGGTCATAACGAAGCTTCGAGAATGTCTGTTGAAACTGGCCCTTATATTTTCCAGTATCCTTTAAAACATCATCTCTTACCATAATGATTGATGTTTGATTTAATATGCTTGACTACGTTTATAGAACCATTTATCTCTATGCTCTTCCTTGATTAGAGAATTTTAGTTACATCATAGAAGGACGTGTTTGCTACTTGACAATGTGTGACCGCTCTTACCCGAAGAAGCTAGCGTTCCAATACCTGGAAGATCTCAAGAATGAGTTTGAACGTGTTAATGGGCCTAACATTGAAACAGCTGCTCGACCTTATGCCTTTATTAAGTTTGGTATGTGTATCATCAGTATCATGGAAACATAGCTTCCTTGGTTTCTCACTCTCTCTTTTTTATTTATTTTGTAGATACTTTCATACAGAAAACGAAGAAACTGTACCAAGACACTCGTACGCAACGAAACATTGCTAAGCTGAATGATGAGCTCTATGAGGTTCATCAAATTATGACGAGGAATGTGCAGGAAGTTCTAGGTGTTGGTGAAAAGCTAGACCGTAAGCAACTCTATCTATGAGGTTCATTGATTACGCTTTTGGAATCAGGAGAACAGAGCAATGTGCTAATCATGTACTATCTCCTCTTCTTGTTTTTTTTTTAAATGCAGAGGTGAGCGAGATGTCGAGCAGGCTAACATCTGAATCTCGTATATATGCTGATAAGGCTAAAGATTTGAACCGTCAGGTGAGTGTATGATTGTATTCACGTTATGAGATGCCTCTTAGGTTTTAGTTTATAGCTCAAGTTTGTTAGTAGCATATGGTTCTGAAACATTTGAGTTTGTGTAAACCAGGCTTTGATCAGGAAGTGGGCACCAGTTGCCATCGTGTTTGGGGTCGTGTTCCTTCTTTTCTGGGTCAAGAACAAACTATGGTAAAGAAAGGAGGAACCTGAGGCTAGAACTTCTCCAGACATATATCATCAACCGGCACCAAAAATATATCTTCTTTCTTTTTCTAAGTGAAACATTGACACACATTTTGTACTTCTCTAGTATTCAGATTTTATGAGACTGGTCATATTATCATCCATCAATACAGTTTTTAAACCTTTGGTTTTCATTATATCAGGTTCTTCAAATCAAAATCAAAACCAGACTCAAACTAACCCAAACTACCTGAAATGAATACAGAGCTGCTCAAAACGTAGTTTAGCGTTTATGTGGCCTCAAGTGTTGTTTGGAATCTTGTGGACCAGCCAAATCCAATGCTAGTGTGATTGTTTTTTCCTCCTTTTGAATATAACCTACTAGTACTACACTCAAATTGGCTACGGAGGTTTGCTAGGTAAGTCCATAAGGGTTTTGTTATCCGAAATTGGCTTGTCACAGTTTGCCTTCTTTTTGAGCATTTCGTATATGATTTTCTGCTTTTAGAGGTTTTGCTACTTCATGATTCGAGTGATGTTAGCTAGAGTAGAATCGATCTATTATTTTAACTTGAGGTAACGGGTCCTTTCTGCAACGAAACCCAAATGTTAACATGGTGAGAAGCTTTAACGAGATCACTACATCCTCTGCTCAAGACAAATAATCACAAAGCATAATAAACAAAGGTGGCTCCGAAGGCAGATTTTTTATTTTTAAAAGTTTTCACCATCGAACTTGAGTAGCAGAAATATTTACAAAGCCAATGCCTTAGAAACTACAAAGGCCTTTTTTCGTTAGGAAGCCATAAAAGATAAAAGTAGTTGTGCCACCATTTCTACCACGACTCAGTCTTTAACACAAACCCTTCCAGAAACTTACAAACAACAGATTGCTCAACATCAACTCAACTAAAAACCATACGCCCAACCGTGTGCTTAGGCTGCTTCTGCAAATCCAACCTGCTCTTTTCCAAAGTCAAACACGGTGTGGTATTTGCCCATGAACACATCTCCCAAGATCCTGTCACAATTTTTACCACCATACTTCAGGTTAGAAAGAGAAAGAAATAAACAACGAGAAGGACTTATGCTGCAGTGAAGAACCAATTATTTACCAGAGAGGTCCACGAGGTGGGGCAACGTCCATTGCAATAAAGCCACTGATGCACTGTGCTGCAGGGCCCTCACCAACCTTCAGAACATACTGTTCACACCACAACAGCACCAAGAGGTTAGAATGGGGATAATATTCAGGTGACAACTACAAGATATGAATCTTGTTCTCAAACATACCTCCTCTGGAGCAAGATCAAAGACTTTGCCTCCAATGGTGAGCGCAACAGTTGGCATGGTCGAGAGTTGTGCACAGTCCACTGCAGACTCTCCCATTGGGCTTGGAATACGCTCGCATAGCTGTCCAGAGAAAAAACCAGCAACAGTAGCAAATGAACAGAATCAGAACAACCATGGTTCAACATATTTTTTAATCAAAAATGCTACTATAATAGAAGCTTCTTGTTGTACCTCGTTGACGTAGTCTAATATGCGTTCCTGAGTCATGTTCTGCCTCAACTGGCTTTGCATCCAAACAACTGCCATCTCACATGCAGAACACGCGGCATCTCCAACACCATTAGATAATTTGGCGTTTTCCTTGTCCACCACCGACTCAATGCCCATACTAAAAGATAAAAGAAAAAAAATTAAGTAAACAAACAGCCGATCAATAAAAAACGAACACCAAGATGAAGAAGATCTCGGACTTAATTGCAATCTCCCGATAGAATATAGCTTCTCTATAACATAAATGAACCCACTGTAAATTTACCTGACACCACGTTTACCATCGAAAGTGCACAGACCAATCTGCGAGCAGATTTTCTTCGGCTGGGTCTGCAATCCGAAAGAGAATTTAACTGAGTTTCAACATATTCTTCGTCACACTAGCTAGTCTAATAAGCATACTTACTTCAGACAGAAGCAGATCCAAGATGGTCTGCCCGTACTGATCTACGACAGTCTTGCACTGCTGGCTAGCAACTCCAGATGCTCCGATAGCATGGTTTATCATGGTAATTATAGTCTACACAATGAAAAACAAAAATAGTGTATTACTACCAATACTACACTTAGGAAACCACTAGAACCCCTTCAGATTCTTGCTTACTGTTGGACCCGCAAGCAAAGATGTTCCAGAATCTGCTATAGCAGAGCAGCCACTTTCGCAGTATCCTGTACAACAAAAACTAAACATTAGATCCAGTCGTCGCCAGTATACATAAACAGAAACATTTTCAAATTTGTTAGGAACAGCTATATACAATACAGAAAAAGCACATAGTACGGTTAACATACCAGTGGGTGCACCGCCAATGAGAACGTCACCCATGTCAAACTATTACACACACAAAAGGCTTGAGTTAGATCATGGAAGACGTTTACGAGAAACCAAGACAAGAAAGTAATACATATAACAAACCTGCCAGTAACCCTTTTGTGTCACAGGGACATAAGTATGTTGTCCCTTGAAATGTTTTGGATCAACACCACCAAACACAAGTTCACCACCTTCTTCATCCTCAGCATTACGGTTGAGCCAAAATGAAAACACTGGCTCTTTGATGAGGCCTTGCTTGAGCATGTTGTACCTGTCAAAACAAGACATTTTGGTATGAGACTAACACTACAAGAATGTCGTAAACTCAACCCAATCATAGAAAGCATACCAAACAGGAGCGGCATTTCCAACAGAGATCTCTTGGAATCCAAGACCAAGGATACCATCAAACTTAGCTACAACAAATGTCAAACCAGGTTCCTTGGTTGCCTCGATGAACTCCTGATAAAATATAGAAGGATGAGAAAAATCAGCGACATAGAATAAATGAGTGGTAAGAGCTTTGAGAACGGTAGGATAGATAGTTAACCTGATCCTTGACAACCAAATCGCCAACTGTAACGGCATCGTTGCTAAAGAAACCAGCAATAGCCCCAGTTCCGTAATGAATTGCGGCGGATTTTCCTGCATCAAAGACGAGCAAGTTAGTTATAACATCACAGCTCACATCAGCACAAAGGCGAGGAACACTCTTTCACATAAAAGTGTTTTAAGAGCCTAAATTGGATTGCCAATATAAGTATCTATCGACTAGGAAATCCAACTGCTAAGAAAACAGACATCATTAGAAACACATCCCACATTTTCAGAATACAGGAACCTAATAAGGACTGAATAACTAATTCAGGAATAGAGAGAGAGCTAGAACAAACCATTCTTCTCATATGTGCTTGAACGCGAAGACTTGTATTTGGGATGTAAGAGACATGCAATCTACACAACGGACATAACACAAATTAATTTTATTTTCAAATGTATCTCGACCACAGCAAGCAAACATAGACCGATTGTTGCATACCGAGAAATAGCATTTTGCTGATGGAACCCAGAGGTTAGAGCTTCCGGTATCAAACACCACAGTGAACTTCTGCGGTGGAGTACCAATAGCGATCTCACCGTAGTACTGAGCGTCCAAGTAATTCTTCAGCGTGACAATGTCAGCGTCTCCTGAGTCTCCAAGGTTGTAAGCTCTCAGGGGCTTTTCTTGGTGGGAACCAAACGCACGTGCAGCAAGACCGCTTATGGTATCCAACTTGAATTTCTTCAGGCCAACCCTAAAGGTCCCATCATTGCGCTCAGCAGAGGCAGAAAGAAACAGCAGAAACGACACAATGAGTGTCAAGGTAACCGTTGTAGAGTATATTCCCATTTCACCTATTCATTGACGACAAACTAAGTTAGAAATTTATAATAAACAACCACGCTGAAAATTAGAGGATTTAAAATACCATAAAAGTCAAGTTGAATCCATGTAAAAATAACGAATTAGACTTTTACTTAGTCCACCTCAAAGAGATAAAGATTGACAAGGTAACACGCATTAAAAATGCTTTAACTATCATCTTACTTAGTCTCCCTCAAATAGCAACCAAGTAAAAACACTATCGTGTAAGCAATAGATAAAGTAAAAAAAAACTTTATTGACTTTGCAAATGATAAAGACGTTTCCCTGCTAAGAAACATAACACAATACTGATATCAATTTTTTTTTAAGTTTTACGCTATACAGAAATTGATATTCTGAGAACTACAACAACAGCCTAGAAACACCAGCATCCCCAAATTAGGAAAGAAACTTCAATCTGACAAAGTTATAAAAGGAAACAAACTCAATCGCAATATAACTGAAAGATTCACAAGAAACTTGAGACGATAACAACCGATCAGATGAAAATAACGATCGCATGATCAAACTCACTCAAAAGCTCCGAATACAAAACCGATCGAGCATGACTACTACTGAAAACCAAAATTAGCCACGAATCAACGAACATAATCAAATCTTATATACTAATAATACTGTTAAGATTCACATCGCTAAAACTCATACCTAACCGCAGGTAAAATCGGATAAAGCTAATAGTAAACGAATCGAAGGAATGCGATAACGAAGATGACTATAATAAAAGAGAATCTCACCGAAGCTAAGGCACGAGGATATTGAGGGGGGGGGAGTATTACGATGAAGAAGAAAATGAGGAGAGGTAGTTACACATTTATCGAAGAAGGAAAGATGACTGTGACGAGAGAATATGCTAAATTAACAGGCCTGTGCCGTAAATAACAATGACAGCGGGGCCCACTGATGTAATCGCGTCAAAAGAAAAAGAAAGAGATATTTCTTGAAGAATCAGTTTTCTATATTGGCCGTTGGATTGAGATATAATGAACGATCAGATTTTAACCGTTGACGGATGGATAGGAAGGGCCTAAAAACGTCTCAACTCCCACGTATTAAATTTAGCGAAGGCTAATCACGTGCTCACGAATTTAGAGTGGACTACCTGTTCTTCTAGAATCTTAGCCGTTGATGAGCTGATGACTCGAATTGATACGTGTCGATTTGTGATGGGGTTCTCTTGCTGTAATCTGCTCTAAAGCCCAATTACAATAGAACTTATGTTTTTATCACATGGAGAATGACCACTGTAATGTTTATATTGGGCCTGTTGAGAACCCAATTACTGATCCAAATTATTTGGAAAATTAAATAAACCTAAAATCAATATATTGAAGCACATAACAAGACATTCTAAGCTTAATCCACACTTCAAACCAGCAAATT